TTTTAAAAAATTTGGCCAGAGAGAGAGAGAAAGGGAAAGTGAGAAAGCAAGCCACCAGGTCTGGGACTCAAACCGCAGTTCACCATGAAAGTGTCCAACACCTTAACCATCAAGCCACCTGCCAGCTCCTGAATAATCTCTTTTAACTGGCATTTAGACCATTGTTGTTGAAAGTGATTACTGATATAATTGGATTAATATACTGGGGCCAGCAGGTGGCTTGGAGTCAAGGTGCTGGACTCCCACATAGCTGACCACAGTTTGAGTCCCAGACCTGGCAGCTTGCTCTCTCACTTTCTTTCTTTGATAAATTAAAAAGAATAAATAAAATGGAAAAAATAGGGACCAGCAGTTAGTGTAATGGCTATGTTGCTGAACTCCCATGTAGTCTACCATGGTTGAGTCCCGGACCCAGTGGCTTAAGCTCACACCAGGCACATGTGCGTGCATGTCCAAGATCCCGAGAGAAGAAGAGATTGCGGAGTGGCCATCCCCCCTGGGGGGTGATTTCTCGCTTTCTGTCTCTCTCTTTCTGGCGAGCGCACATGCTCTATAGCAAAAACCTCTAAAAACAAAAATTGAAAAATTAATTCTTTTAAAAAACCCACCATACTTTTTATTATTTTCTGTTTTTTGCTCTTGTTCTACTTTTTTCTTTTCCTTTCTTTTGTGGTTTTAACTGGACATTTTATAGGATTCTACTTTCTACCGCAATCCCTTCTCCATTCTCCTCTCGGATCTTGGGCATGCACACACACACACACGCCCGGCGTGAGTTTTAAGCCACTGGGTCTGGGACGTGAACCGTGGTCAACTATGTGGGAGTCCAGCGACATAGCCATTACGCTAACTGCTGGGCCCTCATACCTTTATTTCTACTCTCTGAATCTAAGTATGTTTTTTTGAATTCAGTATATAATGAGATCTTGTTTTATAAGCCAAATTGACTTTTTTTCTTTCAGCAAGTGAGTTAAGTTTACCTACATTTATTTTTATAACTGAAAACATTCCATTTCAATTGTGTGTGTGTATATATATATACACATTTACGCGCGCACGCACACACACACATACACACACACAATTAACTTTACTATAGGGTGCGTATACTTTCTGGAGCGGGGAGAGAGAAAGCAAGCAACCACCAGAGGGGGATGGCCATGTATAGTCCCTTCTCCATTCTCTTGGGAATTTTTTTTTTTTTTTTTAGGTTTTTCACTATAGGGCGCGTGCGCTCACCAGACAGAGAGAGACATAGAGCCAGAAAGCGAGAAATCACCCCCCAGGGGGGATGGTCATGCCACAATCCCTTCTCCTCCATTCTCCTCTCGGGATCTTGGGCACGTATGCACATGCACCCGGCGTGAGTTTTAAGCAACCGGGTCCAGGACTCGAACTGCGGTCGACTAAGTGGGAGTCCAGCGACATAGCCATTACGCTAACTGCTGGTTCCCTCTCTTGGGATTTTTGGCATGCATGCACATGTGCTCCACATGTCTTTCAAACTACTGGGTGTAATACTCGAACTGTAGTCTACCTTAACCATGATGCCACATTCTGGCCTAAGTCACAGTTTTCTGTTATTAATTCTTTTACCTTATTTTCTATATTCTTTTTTTATATGACATATTTTCTTGGTATTTACTGGCTTTTACAAAGGTTTGGATTTGTTTGAATCCCCTATTGTTTAACCTTTTAATTATATTCTTTTAACCCCACCTATTAGCTGTTAGGACAGTTTGTTTATTCTTCTTTCTCTCTCCTGTTTCTTTCCACCTTTTGTTATGACATGCAACATTTGTACATTTGTCTTCCAACTTCACTCAATATCTGTTTTAGCAATACATTTGGATATATTAAAATCCAAAGGTCTTTTGCTGAAGTTTTTGCAGTTATCTCTTTGTTGCTGAAGCTTATCCACTAGACTAGAAGGGCTCATGAATGCTATACACTGTGCTTAAAACTATCCTTGACACTTGAACAATTTGGTCAACATAAAATCTGTGGTTTGCACTTCCCAATGTTTAGTTCGCTATTTCATTGTTGACTGATTTTGTGCACTGTTTCCGCAGACTGATGCCAGTGTAATGCTTTTGCTCCTGTAAGGTTATGCAATTTTCAACAACTGAATACATTGTTGTTGTTGTTGTTTTTCTCTTTTGTAAGCTTACAGTTTTACTAGGTGTTATGGTTTGGATAATGGTTTGTCCCACAGATTCATAATTTTGAATTTGGATGTCTCCCAGAAACTCACTTTGGGGACTTGACTGCATTTATAAAGGTGTTAAGTGAAAAATGTATCCTTTCATAGTGTCCCAGATTAGGGACATTAGGGTGTGATAAAATGTCATTAGAGCAGGATCCCTTTGGCTGACTTCTGGTGGGTTGGTTCAGTACTAAGCAAACGGAATGACACAAATTCATGGAGAGCTGGTCTGCTCAAAATCCTGCTCTCTGTCACATAGCCTCGCCAGAGGCTGGACCCTGGACCTTGGACCTCTGAATAGTGAGCTGAATCAAGTCTTATTTCTTCAAAATAAGAAATAAGATGGGACCAGCAGTTAGCATAATGGCTACATCGCTGGACTCCCATGTAGTCGACCACGGTTCGCGTCCCAGACCCGGTGGCTTAAAACTCACGCCAGGCACATGTGCGTGTGTGCCCAAGATCCCGAGAGGAGAATGGAGGAGAGGGGATTTCGGCGTGGCCATCCCCCCTGGGGGGTGATTTCTCGCTTTCTGTCTCTCTGTCTCTTTCTGTCTGGCGAGCGCACACGCCCTATAGCAAAAATAAATAAATAAATAAGAGAGAGAAATAAGACTTTAGTCTATTTGTGTTAGCAATGCAATAATGGGTTGAAGATGACATTCTGGGTTAATACTCTCAGGTGCTTGGTAGGCCTGTTCATGTAGATTTGGGTTTCCTTTTATTTTGGGAAGTTTTCTTGGGTTGTAGCTTTAAATATTATTATAGCTTTGCTCCATTCTATTTTTTCTTCTTTAGGGGTGGGCGCTGGATCCTCACATGGTTGACCACTGTTTGAGTCCTGGACCTGGTGGCTTCCTTTCTTGCTTTCCCTCTCTCTCTATCCTTTTCTGGTCAAGTTAAAATAAGTCAATAAAGTTAAATAAAGTAATTATAAAACTATAGATAAATTACACGCCCTTTTTGCCCTGCTTTCCATTTTTACCACCCTGTCCTTTTTTTATTTCTCATTTTTCTATTTTAGTTCTTTTTTTTGCCTTTCTTTAATGCCCCTTATTAAATTTCCATTCAGGGGCCAGCAGGTGGTGTGGTAGTTCAGGCACAGTATTCCCACATGGCCAAGTGTGGTTTAAATTCTGAACCTGGCAGCTTGAAAATCACCTTACGTTGTGTGTGCATGTGTGTGCACGCGCGTGCATGTGTGTGCACGCGCGTGCTCGCCGAAAATCCCAAGAGGAGCATGGAGGGGAAGGGACTGCAGTGGGGCCATTTGCCCTAGGGGGTGATTTCTCACTTTGTCTTTCTTTTCCCTGACAAGCACACATGCTCTATGGCAAAAACCTAAAAAAAAAATGTTTCATTTATGTCTGTTCTGACTTAGGTATTTTGTATGTTAGTCTTCATCTGGGATAAATTTGCCTTTTTCTTCCATTTCTCTTAGGCTTGATCATTTCTTTTTTCTGTGTAGTTTGCCTACTTAGAAGGTTCGGTAATGGGACCAGCAGGTGGCGTGGTGGTTAAGGCGCTGAACACTCCCACATGGCTGACCAGGGTACAAGTCCTGAATCTGGTGGCTTGCTTTCTCACTTCCTTTCTCACTCTCACCCTCTGTCTCTCTCTTGTCAAATTAAAAAAAGAAAGAAGGTTCGGTAATGTCTAGTATGTATTATCTTTTTGTATGTTCAAATATTTGTGTGAATATAGTTTGTAGTGTTGTCTTTATATAGTTTCTTCTGCTTCATGGCTTTTTCAGGAGGTATTTTCTTTACTTGAGATATATTAACTTTTATTACATGTGTGTGTGTGTGTGTATATATATATATACTTTTTTGTTGTTGTTAGAGGGCACGTGTGCTTGTTAAAATGACAGAATAGAAACCCACCCCACCCCACCCATCCACCCTGTCAGGAATGGTCACTGCAAGCCCTTCTCCCTCCCTCCTTTGATTTTGGGCACACATGCATACGTGCCTGTGCCTAGTGTGCTTCTCAAGCCTCCAGGTCCAAGACTTGAACCATGAGATCAGCCACATGGCATCCAGCTGTCATTATTAACCACTATGTCACAGAGCCAGCCCAAGATGTGTTTTATTTTCTGATTTTTTTAAAGAATTGTTTGATTTAACTTTATTTTAATTTGACCAGAAAGGAATAGAGAAAAAAAAAAAAAAAGAAGAAGAAGCTGCCAGGTCCAGGACTTGAACTGTGGTCAGCCATCTGGGAGTCCAGCAGCCTTAACCACCATGCCACCTGCTGGCCCATCTGCTGTCCCACGTTTTCTAATCTGTTTTGCAGCAACTGTATGGATCATCTGCCCTTTCCTCATGTTTGGTGCTTTCTCATTTAGATTGCCTTTTCTGCTATACCTCATTATTAATCTTATTGATACACACTGAATGTTCAAACTAGTTAACTACATTAGATATATATTGAATTTGTTTACACTGAAACAAGGCATAAACCTTCATCTTCTGGTTTGAGTTCTGGGTTAATTGCTTTTCTTGATGCTTTTAAAACATTTATTTCTTTACTCATGATGGAGCACTTGTGTACACACGAAAGTGAATAGCACACTTGAGGGTCTGTTTACGCTCTGATCAGCCTCCTCCAGACCTTTGGCCTAGTGGATCTTGGACATTTATCTGCATGCCGCAGCGTGTTTCAGACCCACCTGGCCAGGGATTTGAATGGCAGTTGCTGTGTGGGATCAAGTGCTTCTCTTGAGCACTACATTTACCAGCCTTGTTGATACTTTTTCAAAGGTTGATTCAACTCTGCTTTCTTCCGCTTACAGGACCCAGCCATATGTCATTCTACGTTCGAGCCCTCAAAGGTTCAACACTTTCTCAGTGGTCTCTTGGCAATGGTACCCCAGTCACAAGTAAAGGAGGGGACTACTTTGTATTTTACTCCCATGGACTTCAGGCTTCTGCATGGCAGTTCTGGATAGAAGTGCAGGTGAGAATTTTCTAGCATTGCTTCTTTCATTGCTCAAATTCCTAGAACCTTAGGTTTAGTGTTCTTGCTTCAAAGAACTAGAGTCAACTAATTTTCTCTGGCAGGTCTCAGAAGAACAGCCTGAAGGAATGGTCTCTGTGGGCATTGCTGCTCACTATCTATCTGGGGAAGACAAGAGATCCACCCAGCTGGATGCTCTGAAGGAGAAGTTCCCAGATTGGACCTTTCCCTCTGCCTGGGTGTGCACCTACAAGCTCTTTGTCTTTTAATCTTGTGGATGAGCTCTAAGTATATGTCCAGTGGATACTCCATGTGACATGGTTTCTCCATGTTGTGTGGATGTTTGTAAAGTAAGTCAATGAATTTTAATGAGTATATATTCAAAGAACTTTTTGGGTTAACACTCTTCAGCACCAAGCCTCCAAGGGTTAGGCTGTGAGGCAGTTGTGCATGGCCTTTTTGACACTTGAAAATGCCAGTTTTCTGGCACTTAAGCACATGTGGGTACTGCCACTACACACATAGGTCATTTTATATGACCTTAAGGACAAAAGCCAACAAACCAGTAACTGCTCTCTAGGATCATGAAAGTTGTACAATGTCAGACCATTGTTAATGAGTTAAAAGTCACTTCCAATTAAAGCCCATTGGCTGGGTGAGTGAATGGGGGGTAGAGTGTCATTCACTAGGGTAAGGATTCCCCTTGAGCCTTCTCGAGATCATTGGAGAATGACTGCCATAAGCACTGTGGTAGAAGCATTGGGCTTCTGGGGCTCCAATCTGTGCCGGGAGTTGTTTGTTCAGGCTGTCTAATCTCTAGGATGTGCTCTGTACAAAAGTCTGGACTCCTCACGTAGGGCCCTAGAGTGCATTGGTGACTCAGTCTGTCCCGGCAGTGGACATTGGGCTTTCCTGAGGTGGTTTTCAAGGCCTTTCCTCTGAAACATATCTGCTCTCCTGCTCCAATTTACCAGAGTGAGAAGGGGAAGCATTTGTCCAGCTACCTTTCCTTCTGGGTTTCCACAGTTTTTTGTTTTGTTTTGTTTTTTTATTCAGAATATTGTTTGTACAAGTACATGACCTTAACTTCCTTCCTCAGAGCACTGAGTTGCCACTGTGGCTATTCTGGGGTGGAAGGAGAATGGGTGGGGGGCCAGTATTTTATAAATATTTATTCTGTTTTCATAGGAGTCCTCTGTTTTGCTAGGTTAATTCTGTAGGAATAATTTTTATTGATGCACTGGGTCCACCTTTTTGTTTTCCAACTTGATTAGTTGCTTGGTAACTCACTGTATACAGCAGGGCTGGCTTTCTTGAGACTTAAAGTAGCTTATTCTGAGATCACTGTATCTGTAGCTGTTGGAATTCAAATCCTGCATTAATAGCACTAGGACTTAATGGTGTCTTTCAAAGATAGGCACATAGCTTGCAAGGTTTATGGTAATGGTGCACAGTAATTGCATCACAGGAGGAAAACTTGCTTGAAGCTGCCTGTGTGATGTGTACAATGTGTTTTAATCATGCTCCTCATACTAATTCATAGTAACTAATTTGTGACTTACTAAAAACTAACCAGGCCCATGCAGCAGGGCTGTAGCCAGAGCCAAACGACAACATGCTGGCTGTCATATACGCATTGGCACTAAACACTGGAGGCGTTGCTTTTCCTAGACTTCATAGAAATCACTCTTAAGTACTTCAAGTGCTGGCTTTTACTACGTTTATCTGTCAGGTAATCCATAAGATTTGCAGGATTTACAGCTTTTACAGAACTGAAGCTGTGAAGAAAAACTAGCGGTAATAGTAGCTTCACTGAATTTCAAAATATGTATTTTTCTGTCCCTGTGGTTAATCTGAAAAAGACTGCAAAATCCCATTTTGAGGACATTGTATGAAAAATAGATTGCTCCTTGGGATTTTATTTTCCTTTGGGAAGGATACTGTTATCCTCAATAATCATGGTTTGCCTTTTAGTTTTGGGTTATTTTCCCGTGCAAACAATTCTCTTTCATTTTGATTTTCTTTACCATTATTAAGCTTGCAAACTGTGCAAGGGCAGAAACAAGATGCTTACTATTCTCAGGGCATGCTTAATTTTCTGGGAGATTGTTTTAATGCCAGAAATTGTCAGTTACATGCAGTATTCATGGCTCTGTTAATAAGTACACTGTCACATCAGTAGCTGTGAGATTAAACTTTTTCTTTAAGAGTATCTGATCATTTGAGTAACTTATTTCTAAAAGTCTAACGAACTCAACAATGCATTTTTTTTTATAGAACTTTAAATGTAAGTAGCACAGATACTGCATAATCAGGGAAAATATGAAGAACTGTGATTTCAAAGTAGTTCTTTCCTCTGTTTGACCTAAGAATGATTGTTGCATGAAGTGTTTCTGTTTTCACAGTTTAGCAGATATAAATAAGCACGATAAGATTCCTTAAGCTGTTACCACCGAGGGGGCCACAAGCCAGCCTGCTGACTCAGGAAGCTGTAGGAAGAATGATTGTGTCTGTCTGTGTCTTTTTGCTGGTTTGCTGACTTGTTGACAAATAACTGTTGCCTTACAATGTTACTGAAATAAACTTTTTTTTAACATACTGGCTATTTTTTTAACTGAAAAACACCTTTGTTAATTGCTTATGCTCTCCTGTAGCCCCATATTTCAAGGGTTACCACATATCTACCCACCTTACTTTTAAGAGACATAGTACATGTACAATGGCTGTATATATAATTTTAAAATTCATATATGTGTATACACATACATGCATGCACCCACTCACTAGGACGAGAGAGACGGGCAAGTGAGAAAGCACCTCCCCCTGGAGAATGGTCACTCTGCAAGCCTCTTCCCTCCTCTCCCTCCCTCACCTTTGGGACTCTGGGCTTCCATCCCCATGTGCCCAGGGTGTTCCCCAAACTCCTGGGTCTGGAATGCAAACTATGCAGTCAGTTGTGTGGGACCCAGCCACTCAACCACTATGCCACTGGCTGTACCTTTAATTGCTACTTAAATGAGTGAAGTGGGACCAGCAGTTAGCGTAATGACTATGTCGCTGAACTCCCACGTAGCTGACTGTGGTTCAAGTCCTGGACCCAGTGGCTTAAACTCACACTGGGTGTATGTGCATGCGTGCCCAAGATCCCGAGAGGAGAATGGAGGGGGAGGGATTGCGGTGTGGCCATCCCCCCTGGGGGATAAATAAGTGAGTGAGTGATGTGAGCACAGAACTCCATGGAAATTTCAGTTCCCTTTATATGGAATACTTTTGCACCCAGGAATGAATTTCACAGAAATTAATAACCTATTATTACTTGGTTAGAAGTTTCAAATCATTTCCATTAGTAATAATAATAATCACCAAAGAGCTAAGAAACACATTTTTTTATTAAGCATAAGAAGACACTACCTTTCAGGAGCTGGCAGGTGGGGTGGGGGTTACAGGTGCTGGACTCCCACATGGCTGACCACAGTTCAAGTCCTGGACCTGGCGGTGGCTTTTCTTTCTCTTTTTCACTCTATCCCTCTCTGATCAAACTTTAATAAAGTTTTTTTTTTTTTTTTTAAATAAAAAAAACCTTTAAAAAAAAAACAGAAGACATTACCTTCCAGCCAGAATCTTTGTATAACTTATTTAGCTATCTGTGTAAATCCCCTCAGAGTAGTTTAGGACAAGGTGAAGTAGCCAAATAACTTCTATTTCTACTATACCTCCACTTTTTGTGTTAGTAAAGCAGTTAAGCCTCTTTGTTTCTAGTTGAAATATATGGGATTTTGGTGTGCATCTGTGTATTTTTTGACACTACTTACCTATTTGAGTCATAAAAATGCTGTATATTGAGGGACCAGCAGTTAAATGGCTATGTCGCTGGACTCCCATGTAGCCGACTGCAGTTCGCATCCCGGACCCGGTGGCTTAAACTCACGCCGGGCGCGTGTGCGTGCGTGCCCAATATCCCGAGAGGAGAATGGAGGAGAAGGGATTGTAGCGTGGCCATCCCCCCTGGGGGGTGATTTCTCTCTTTCTAGCTCTCTGTCTCTCTGATGAGTGCACACGCCCTGTAGCATAAACCTCTCAAAAAAAAAAAAAAAAGCAAGCTGTATATTGAAAAGTTCTCCAGCTAGGCCCTATCAACCACAACCAAGTGGGATTTATCCCAAGAATGCAATGTTGGTTTAATATTTTTTTAAAAAATCAGTGTACACCATATTAATATTAGGTCATCTGGAAAGTCACGATGTATTTTTCTGTGCAAAAATGCATTGTGACTTTCTTGACGACCCAACAGAATAAAGGACAGGCCATGTGCTACATGATTATATCAATGGATGCTTTTTTTTATTTCATTTTACAAAATCTATAACTCTTCTATGATAAGAATGTTCAACTAAGAACGGGTGTGTGTGTGTGTACAGCTAACAATTACACTTAACAATGAAAGACTGAGAATATTCCCCTAAGATCAGGAAGAAGCAAGAATGCCCAATAATAATCACTTCTGTTCATCAACATGGTACTTGGTAACTTTAGCCAGGATGGTCTGGCAAGAGAATAAAATAAAAGGCATCTAGATTAGAAGAGTTAAAAACTATCTCTAGTTACAAATGACATGCTACTCTATTTAGAAAGTCCTCAGGAATGCACAAAAAATTATTACAATTAATGAGTTCAGCAGTGTTGCATGATCTAGTACCAGCACACAGAAATTTGTATTTCTATATAAAAAGATAACCTCAAAATTAATTGTAACAAGACCAGCAGTTAGCATAATGGCTATATCGACAGTGGTTCAAATCCCAACCCCGTAGCTTAAACTCACACTGGGCGCGTGTGCGTGTGTGCCCAAGATCCCGAGAGGAGAATGGAGAAGGGATAGCGATGTGGCCATCCCCCCCTGGGAGGTGATTTCTCACTTTCTGTCTCTGTCTCTGTCTTTTTGGCAAGCCCACGCGTCCTATAGCAAAAACCTCTCAAAAAAAAATTGTAACAGAATATTAAAATAATCAGAAATAAGCTTAATGAAAGTATAAGACTTTTACACTGAAAGGTACAAAACACTGCTAGAAGAAACAAGATCTAAATCTCATGTTCATGGACTATCTTCATACTAAGACAGAAATAATCTCCAAATTAAATACAGCCCCTATCAGAAACCCATCTGCTTTATTTTAGTGCAGAAACTGACAAGCTGATCTGAAAATTCATATGGAAATTTAAGGGACCCAGCCTTCAAAAAACAAATTTAGAATTCACATTAAAAAAAAATTTTTTTTTTGAGATGTTTTTGCTATAGGGCATGTGTGCTTGCCAGAGACAGAGACAGAGAGACAGAAAGCGAGAAATCACCCCCAAGGGGGGATAGCCACGCCGCAATCCCTTCTCCGTTCTCCTCTTGGGATCTTGGGCATGCACGCACACATGCCTGGCGTGAGTTTTAAGCCATTGGGTCTGGGACGCGAACCACGGTCGACTATGTGGGAGTCCAGCGAAATAGCCATTACGCTAACTGCTGGTCCCACATTTTAAAATTTCTAACAAAGCAGTATTCATGACTATGTGGTATTACTGTAAGGACAGACATACAGATTAAAACTAATATAGAGTCTAGAAATAAAGCTATATACTTATGTAATTGATTTTTGACAATTCAATGGGGGGAAAATCTTTTCAATAAATGGTGCTCAGATAATTGAATATCCACACACAAAAGAACAAAGTTAGGCTATTACTTCATACTATATAAAAAAATTAACTCATAATGCATCACAGCCCTACATGTTGGAGGTAAAACTATAACACTCAGAGAAAGCTGAGACATAAATATTCATGACCTTGGATTAGGCAATGGGTTTCTCATTTGACATCAAAAGCTCAAGCCTAGGAAAAATAAATTGGACTTCTTGAAAAACTTATTCAAAAGGACACTGTCTCAAAGTGAAAAGAGAAGCCCAGAGTAAGGAACTATTTGCAAATCAATGATCTATGATTTACAAAGGGGTCCAGTATGGAAAATAGGTGAAGAAATGTTGCAAATCAACAGTAAAGAGATAAATGACCTAACTGAAAAATGGGCAAAGAGTGTGAAGATATTTTTCTTCAAAGATATGCAAATGATTTAAAAATCTTATGGAAAGATGAGCCATTAGGTAAATCAGATTTTCATTTCCATTTCATACACAATTTGAATGGCTGAAAACCAAAAAGAAAGCAACAGCAGACAGTTGGTAGTTGAAACTAGAACTCTCATCTACCATTAATGGGAATGTAAAGCGGTGCAGGGTCTTTGGAATATGGTCTGACATTTCCTCAAAGAAATTAACCAGGTACTATATGACCCTGCAGTTCCACTCCTAGAGAGAACTGCAACATGTCCACTTACCGTGAATGGAGCTTGCAGAACTTGATGTTGCTCTGGAGGAGAGAGAAGTGTAAATGTGATGGTCTAGGACATTACTCTCCTACCATAGACCCATAGGCTTTATGTAAGTGTTTTTTTTTTTTTTTTTAATTAGGGAGATTTTTGCTATAGGACACATGTGCTCATCAGGCAGCGAGACAGAAAGCAAGAACTCACCCTCCAGGGGGGATGGCCATGCTACAATCGCTTCTCCATTCTCCTCTTAGAATTTTGGACATGCACGCACATGCCCAGCCCGAGTTTTAAGTCACCAGATCTGGGACTTGAACCATGGTCCACTACTTGGGAGTCCAGTGACATCACCATTAGGCCAGCTGCTGGTCCCAAGCTTTGCTAAATTGATAGATTATCCTCAATAAATTAACCTTAGCTTACTGTAACTTTATAAAGTTTATAATTCTTTCCACATTCTGATGCTTTTGTAATAGCTTGAAAAGACAAACTATTGGAACAAAGATATTTTTCTTTTTCTTTTAAAGAATTAATGTTATTTATTCATTCATTTCAATTTGACCAGAGAGAGAGACAGAGAGAGAATGTGAGAAAGCAAGCCATCAAGTTCAGGATTGGAACCATGGTCAGCCATGTGGGACCAGCGTCTTAACCAGGAAACCACCTGCTGGTCCCCCCAAATATTTTTCTTTGTATCCTTATTCTATAAGCTTTTTTTTTTTTTTCTCTCTCTCTTTTTTTTAGTTAAGTTTTTTGTTGTTAAATACTAAGACACAAACAGACACATCAGCCTAGGCCTACAGAGAGTAGGATTATCAGTATTCAGTCTTTCAGCTCCATGTCTTGTCCTATTAGAAGGGCCATGATGAGCAGAACAATACAAGTTTAAACTGAACAAGAGGAAATGATGCTATCATGGTAAACTAACAAGCTATATAAGGCTGCTGCTGTTAACAGCATAATCTTTTACAGTAAATGATTCTTTAGGAATATACTATTATTCATAATAGCCAGAAAGTACCAAAAAAAAAAAAAACCAAAAAAACCAGATGGCCCTCAACTCCTAAATAGACAGACAAATGTGGTATATCCATACAAGACTACTATTCATGTAGTGGTCTGGCTCTGTGGCATAGTGGTGATGCACTGCTTGGGAGAAGCTGGATCCCACATGGCAACTGCAGTTTAAATCCAACCTGGTCAGCCTGAAACAACACTGGACATGTTCATGAGTGCCCAGGACTCGAGGACTGGAGGACTGGAGAAAGTGTGACCAGATCCTGTAGAGGGCTCACACGCTCTCTCTGTAGCTCATGTGCTCCATTATGAATCAAGAAAAAGAATGGTTCTCAAAGGTGCAGGCACTAAGTACCACCCCAGGAGGCATTAAAAAAAAAAAAAGTGTGTAAAAGGATGAACCTTGAAAATATGCCAATCAAAAGAAGCCAGACAGAAATTCCACAAATTATATGATTCCATTTATAGGAAGCAGCCAGAAGAGGTAAGTCTACGGAGACAGCAGAGTTAGAATACAGGGAAAAGTCACAATCATTTTTAATCTCACCCATTAGAAATGATGCCTACTCTCCTACATTTACATATATAACATTTTATTTGGTTGGTAGAGATTATAAGGCATGTGTGATTTCTTAACATTTTTTCATTCTGAAAGTTTTCCACATCATCATGGGCTGTTCTTCTCATATTCTATTAGTTCTCTAGGATGCTGTTGACTATTTTTTGTTAATTTTTAGAATTTATTTTGCCTGAGAGACAGGCACCCTTGACAAGGTGTCATCATGCCACAATCCCCTTCTCCTAGCCCTTCGGTTAGTCAGGATTTTGGGTAGGTGCACCTGCAATTTCTAAGGTTGACCCAGGACCTCAACTAGTGGTCTGCCATGTGGCTTCCAGCACTGCAGATCAATATGCTCCTGTCAGCATCAAAATGCCTGGGCCTCTTTATTTTCTTTCTATTTAGATGTTTTTCATGTGAGCGAAGGACTTCTCTGACAGGGTTTGCTACAATCCTCTACCCAACCCTTAAGCCAGCTATGTCAACCTGGGATCCTCCAAATCCTGGGCACGCTCATATCTTTTGCCTAAGCATCATGCAGTGGTGCCAGACTACACTCTGTGGTTGGGCCAAGGAAGCTGCCAATTTTGTTTTCTTTTTTGGCCAATTCTTGATTTTTACAATCTAGATATAAATGATTTTCAATAAACCTATTTGAATGTTGAGTTATAGAAAATTTTAAGAGGTGGAATTATATAATGGAAAGAACATTTTTGTGGCTTTTAATACATATATTTTCTGGGGAACCAGCAGTTAGCGTAATGGCTATGTCGCTGGACTCCCACGTAGTCGACCGCGGTTCGTGTCCCGGACCCGGTGGCTTAAAACTCACGCCGGGCGCGTGTGCGTGCGTGCCCAAGATCCCGAGAGGAGAATGGAGGAGAAGGGATTGTGGTGTGACCATCCCCCCTGGGGGGTGATGTCTCGCTTTCTGTCTCTATGTCTCTCTCTGTCTGTCTGGCGAGCGCACGCGCCCTACAGTGAAAATCTCTCAAAAAAAAAAAAAAAAAAAAACATATATTTTCTGCTGTTAACCTGAGATGATGAATAAACAAGACCTTGTATAATGGTTTTATTGTCCTTTACCAAGTAAAAAAAATACACATTACAGAAGTAGCAGCAAATTTAATTACAAGCAGAGGTTGACTCTACCCCCAAGTGACTTCTTGTTTTGGTATCAGCAAATAATTTAAATGTATCTAGTAAACTTCAAATACTTATACTGAATATTTAAATTCATTGGTTTAAAATTATGGCTTCAGTGGTTGATATCTGAACCAAACAGCAAAGCAAAATAAAAATGAGGTTTTAGAAATTAAAGTACATAACAAATGAATTACCAAACTGACTTTCTTTACTCTTGCTAAATTTCTTGCCTTGGGGCCTCCTGTTTCCTACCACTTTATAGAAGGAAAGATTCATTCATGGCCTGAGCACAGGAATATGGTTAACTTACTGGTATCCTGCTTTCAAGAATATGAGCTGAAATCAGCAGTACAGTGTTACATTTAGAATATTTGAAAAGATCACAACTGTTTATAATGGCAAATCATGTTTATTGACTGAATATTCACACCAAACACAAAAGTAATGCTAATGCTGGTTCTTCTCCCTAAAAGACTAGGACAGGAGAAGACATTTCGGATTAGTTTCTTGCTGAGCTGCATGTACTCACGTGGAAAACACCATTTTCTATTGTTAAGATTTAGGGAAAGGTGGTTTGGTTTGAAACAGACTGAAATAAATGTAGCACCAGAAGGACCAGGTACCAGTAATCACATATTCCACCCATCCAGGAGTTTTATTATGTGAAATTATTGCACTTGTTAGGTAAAAAGAAAATGACAGTAAATTGCCAAACTCAATCATTTTAAATAGTCTGATGAATTTTGAACTAGATAATTTAAAAATTGTTTTGAGTTTCCCTTGAAAGGAAACCTGGCTGAGACAACTAGTCTAGCCATTTTACTCTAAAAAGCAAGGATTGAGGACCAAGTTTAGTTTCCAAACTATAATTGCACTATGAAGAAAGGCTGTTTAACATAGTGGTACAGATTTGGTCCACATCAAATACATTGTTATTATAAAAATAAGTTTGTTTTGTAAAAAATAACATTGCATTCCTTGTTCAAATTGCACAGTACAAACAAGCTATCTAAAGTAATACTGTTATAAGGTAATTAGAATTACATAGTCAATATGTGTTTAGTCTAAAGCAATTAAGGAATATGGAGTTCTGTTTTCATAATGTATGAAAACTAAAATTTACGTCATATCTAGAAATACACAAAATGTTTTAAAAGTTTACAATGAAGAATGCATTTTTTACATACTAATTTTTAGTAGCCGTGATCATATAGGATTCAGCAATCTATTTACATAAAGTCCATTTTATCCAATTTACAAAAGCAATAAATAAGAAACTACATTAATTTGCACAAAACCTGTTCCATTTCATGATCCATATGACCATTTCAGATACTTTATCACTGAGCCAATAAACCTGTCTCCTAGATGAAGACTGATTTCTGAAAAGAGCCAGCCCTGTCTTTATCCCAAGAGTGAGTATCTATAGTCATGCAGAATTCAGCATAAAACCTTACAAATTATAATACAAGCCTTAAAAATATGAAGAATGTCTTTGAGTATATTTACACAACAGTATTCACAAAAAGATATAGTTCTTTGATACAAAATATTTAGTGGTATCTAATAGCGTAATTGATAAGGACCCCTCAAGACCTCTGCCCACAGTGATCCAATAAAATCAAGCTTTCTAAAACGGGCACATCAGCTCATAGGTAATGGCTTCCATCAATGCAAGGCTGGGATTTAATAGGCCAGGAAAGCCAAGGAGAACATCTTTACCACACTGGCACACACTGTGCCAGGACAGGCATCTATTCAGGAAGCTCAAGTGTCCCAAGAGCTTTTATCCAAGGGAGCAAACAGGTAGCTCAAGTACCTGATAAACTAGAGCAAGCACCGTCACATTAATTTTTTAAAAAGCAGTCTGGACATACGCTGAACCAGAAAACAGGTAAAAAGCTATAAGTAGTGAAAAAGCTTACTGGGGCAAAGTAATCCTTATGTTAGAGCTACCAACCTTTGAATATAACCAACATGTTCTCATGTACATCTATACAATATTATTAATATCTTTTATTACTTTTCACTGCAGCTTAAAAGGGTTTTTATGAAAGATGCTTTATTTGATACCACATTTTTATGGAGTCAAAGATATGTCTTAGAAGAGTTAGTTAAAATTTAATAATAATACTTTACCAAATAGTCTCAGAGCTGAGTCCTCTCCCTGTGAAACCATCCAACTAGGTCACAGTGTCCTCAGCTACATGCTGCTAATTAATACTGCCCATGATGATGGCACCTCATTGTTAGGACACAGAACAGTCATAGGTCCCATCCTGAAAGGGTTCTTCTTCCTCTGTTCGGGCTGTGTCCTCTTCTTTCCGACTAACCATACTGCTACTCCCAACCTCACCCTGGGGGATGCTGCCGTGGCTGGAAGAGCTCCTGCTTTCCTCTGCCCGGGTACCAGTCTGTTCAGGAGCCTTACCCACAGTTACCGGCTGGAAGGCATCAGGCTTGACCTGCTCTTCTGTTATCTCACTGAGCTTCTGCAGTTGTGGCTTGATGATGTTTAAAAATGGCTTATATCCAGGACTAGGTAGAAGGGAAGAAGATTAACTTTTTATTAAAAAAAAATATTTAATTCCATCTGGTTTTTTTTGTTTGTTTGGTTTTTTTTTTTTGACTAGAAAGAGAAAGGGAAAGCAAGAAAACAAGCGGCCAGGTCCAGGATCTGAACCGTGGTTGGCCATGTGGGAATCTAGTGCCTTTAACCACCATGCCACCTGCCGGACCCGAGTGGGAAAGATTAGCTTTTATCTGCCATAATTCAAGACACTTGCTAGTATTCTGGATGAACCTACTAACTGCTGATATGATAAAGACAATGAAAGATCAGGTGGGAAGGGGCGGAGGTAGGGAAGAAAGGCTTCTTGGGTGCTCTACCCAACAGAGGGAGGTGCACAAAGCAGCATAAGCATTAAAATTTTGACTAGGAGCAAAAGCATTTTAACTAGTACTGCAATTATAAATCTTAATCTACAATTAAACACCCAACAGGATTTAGACTCAAAAAAGACCTTCAGAGAACATCTAGCCTAAAAGCATTTGGCAATCAAGGAAAACCAGATCCAAGTAATGAAAATAACCCTGTATACATCTAACTGGTGACAAACAGGGCTGGAGTCCAAGAGCCCTAACTTCTATCCACTATTAACTGGCATTTGATTGTAACTGTTACAGAATGTAAAATTTACACAGACTTTAGCTGCTTTCATTTTCAAGCAGACATTCTTAGGCTATAATCTTCAATTTCATAAAACTACAGATCTTAAGTTCCAAGTCTATTTAGATTGGTGACATGTATTTGATGGATATTTCTCACTTAAATGGTCGGATACAGAATGATTAATAAATATCTCTAAATTATCATATGGGAAGCATCTTTATTTCCACTAACCAAGAAATAGCCAAAATAAATAAATTACACCTAAATCTTAATATGAAAGGACAGGATTTACCAAAGGATACCAACCCTAAGGAAACCAGAACTTACCAATCTGTAGAGGCCCATCGGTCCACTGCATGTAGCCCTGTCTTTATGTTCTGTAACATCTCTCCATCTACCTCTGAAGACTGTGCAATAACCAGAATTTGATTGATTATTGAGGATTCTCTAAGAATCAGGCCTATTACAATGCACCAGTCCAAACATCCTGCCTCCATGAAAATGTGTAGCAGATACCTGGAGATAAGCAGAAACAATGACTTATGCTAAGCCGGAGCTACAGATACACAGAACGGTAACAATTATTAGGGAAGTAAATCCTGTATCCTATTTGCCCAAATACCCTGATTAGGAATTCTGTGCTTTTAAAGAGCCGAGAAACTCACCGAAGCTGGACCTGGGATTTGTGAGGCCCTTTACTTGCCAACTCCATGGAGATGTGCTCGAGTTCTGACTGAGTTAAACTGAGTGTGGAGAAATTTTCATCCACCATGGTCCAGTCCCCATCCACCATGGAGCTACTTTCAGTCAGGTCTGTGGCTGAACCAATACTACATTCATCACCTAGTAAGGAAATGGCAAAATTTATAAACCAGCTTCAATCAGAATCTTTCAGATGCTCATTTGTCCTTATGACTTTAAAATCAAAACATCGGGACCAGCAGGTGGCATGGTGGTTACGGCACAGGACACTCCCACATGGTTGACCACGGTTCGAGTCCTGGACCTGGTAGCTTGCTTTCTCACTTCCCTCTCTCTCTCTCTTTCTGTGTCTTTCTCTGGTCAAAATAAGTGAATGAATAAATAAAATTAAATAAAAATAACTTAAATAAAATAAAAACATCAAACCCACTGCTAAAATTGCATGTTACACAAACAACAGATTTTTTTTAAAGAGATTTTTTCTATAGGGGACATGCACTCACTGGAGAGAGAAGGCAAGAAATCACCCCCCACCCCAGGGAATATGGCCATACCATGATCCCTTCTCTTCCATTATCCTCTTGGAATTTTTGGGTACATGTGCACATGTACCTGGTGTGGGTTCCAAGCTGCTAGGTCTGGAACTGGCACCATGGTCAACCATGTGAGAGTCCAGCACCTTAATCACTACACCACCTGCTGACTCGACAGATTTATTTTTAGAAAATCATTAGTGAGAGAGAGAGAAACACACATTATGTGCCTTTGGGTGGAAAAATATACCCCTAATAAGCAGTCATCCTGATTCCTCCCCCCCAAAATCTGGCTATAATTCGATCAAGTCTTTAGATTCAACTACCAATTTATAGGAAATACAGAGGAAACTGTGAAGCTAAACCATGATGAGGTAATTGTCACAATCCACATTGTGAGGAAATACACAGAAGCAAGTCTTCTTGATGAATACACTGCAAGAAGGAAAAATAGAGAGGACAAGCACTTAAAAAAAGAATTAAAACAATCACAATGGGAGATAGCAGATGGCGTAGTGATTACATTGCTGGACTCCCACATGGCCGTCTGCAGTTCGAATCTCAGACATGGAGGCTTGAAAATCACTCCGGGCGTGTGTGCATTCATGCTCAAATTCCTGGAGAATGGCGGAGAAGGGATTGCAGCATGACCATCCCCTATAGGGGGTGATTTCTCACTGCCCTTTCACTGTCTCCGTCTCTCTTACTGCCTCTCTCTCTAGTATGTGCACATGCCCTAAGGCAAAAACCTCAACAACAACAACAAAAAATCACAATGTGTGAACCTTATTTGGATCCTGATTCAAACTATAAAAAGCTATATTTATGAACAGCTCGAAAATTTGACTACTTACTAGATATCTGATGATATTAAGGAATTAAATTTTCAGAGGTATGCTAATTATTATGATTTTTCATATATATGTATACTTGGTTACTATAGGGCATGTACGCTCACCAGAGGCAGATAGAGAGAAGGAGAGAGAGAGATAAGTGAAAAATCACTTCCTCGGGGGACAGCCACTCAGCAATTCCTCCTCTTGGGATTTTAGGCATGCATGCACGCATGCACGTACCTGATATGATTTTAACCCACTGAATCTGGGACTCAAACCACAGTCAGCCACGTGGGATCCAGTACCTTAACCTCCACATCACCTGTCAGCCCACAGTGAGATATTTCTTTAAGAATCCTTGTAGCATACATATTGAAACAATTAAATAAAATATAGCATTTCTTAGATTTGCTTCAATTTATAAAGGAAGGGGAAAGCAGATGAGACAAATCTGGCCATGAGTTTGTTGTATAAGAAGATGAGTGATGGATACCCACTATACTATTATATCTCTACTTTCAAAATATGTTTGAGGGCTAGCCAGTGTCATGGATCCCATATGGCAGATAGTGCAGCTCGAGTCCTAGTCCTAGCTTGAAAAACATGCAAGGTGGGGACCAGCAGTTAGCGTAATGGCTATGTCGCTGGACTCCCACGTAGTCGACCACGGTTCACGTCCCAGACCCAGTAGCTTAAAACTCACACAGGGCGCGTGTGCGTGTGTGCCCAAGATCCCAAGAGGAGAATGGAAGAGAAGGGACTGTGGCGTGGCCATCCCCCCGGGGGGTGATTTCTGTGTCGCTGTTGCTGTCTGTCTGTCTGGCGAGCGCACACACCCTATAGTAAAAACCTCTCCCCCTCCCCCCCCAAAAAAAAGCAAGGTGCATGTGCTTGCATGCCAAAAATCCTAAGAAGAAAATGGAGAATGGAGAAGGAATATTGGCATGACCATTCCCCACTTTCTCTCTCTGTTGGTCTCTTACTGTTGAGTGCACAAGCCCTGCAACAAAAAAAATCTAAAAATAAGGGGCCAGCAGGTGTCATGGTGGTTAAGGTGCTGGACCTTCCCACATGGCCAACCACAGTTTGAGTCCTAGACCTGGTGGCTTGCTTTCTCACTTTCTCTGTCTCTCTGGTCACATTGAAAAATGAATGAATGAATAAATCAAATTAAATAATTCTTTTTCTTTAAAAAAAAAAAGAGTATTTTAAAATAAAAAATAATCTAAAAACAAAAATACATAATGAGCCCTAAATCCTAACAGGATGGAGAAATGGACTGCCATGTATCCATGCCTACTGAGGGATGCTTTCTACTCTTCCTTCTTGCTCCCTCTTTCTGGCAATTTCAAGATGGTAAATTTTATGTGTATTCTACCACAATTTAAAAATAGAAAAGGACGGGCAGCTATAAGCTTCCCCACATAATAGAAGCTCTGGTAACTGATGACAGACTGACAAACATCAGGCAGTGTAGAAAATTAGACGAGTTGGGGACGAGCAGTTAGCATAATGGCTATGTCGCTGGACTCCCATGTAGTCGACCGTGGTTCGAGTCTTGGACCTGGTGGCTGAAAATCACGCCGGGCGCGTGTGCGTGCATGCCCAAGATCCCGAGAGGAGAATGGAGGAAAAGGGATTGTGGAGTGGCCATCCTCCCTGGGGGGTGATTTCTCGCTTTCTGTTTCTCTCTTTCTGGCGAGTACATGCACCCTATAATGAAAACCTCTCCAAAAAAAAAGAAAAGAAAATTAGACCAGGTTTACTATTTAAGTCCTTACAGTTTATAACCATATACTCTCAAAAATGCTTTAAAACCTCTTTAGTATGTAGCCTTTCCATTACAATAAAGCAGAGGCTGGTATACATTTTTAATAAAATGCCAGATGGTGAATACTTTAGGCTTTGAAGGCCACGAGTCAAAATCAAGGATGTTATATAAGAACTTACTATGGGGAACCAGCAGTTAGAGTAATGGCTATATCGCTGGACTCCCACGTAGTCGACCGCGGTTCGCGTCCAGGACACAGTGGCTTAAAACTCATGCCGGGCACATGTGCGTGCGTGCCCAAGATCCTGAGAGGAGAATGGAAGAGAAGGGATTGCGGCGTGACCATTCCACCTGGGGGGTGGTTTCTCACTTTCTGTCTCTATGTCTCTCTCTGTCTGGCGAGTGCACACGCCCTATAGCGAAAACCTCTACAAAAAAAAAAAAAAAAAACTTACTATGAGGGATTTTCCAAAAATTCATGGAAAATGTGTATTATGAGAAAACTGTGTGAATTTCGAATTTTTTTGTCATAAGGCAGGCGCTACCACGCCCTGGATTTCAAAATTTTTTTGTACCAGAATAAATCAGTACTTTTTTTTTAAGTGCCTTTTCCCATGAACTTCTTAAAGTATTAATATCTTCATATGGACTAAGGCCAATTTCCATAAATTTTCACTTATAAAATAGTAAATTTAATGGAGAATAATTTTTTAAAAATGAAACAAGCCTACTACTTATGATAAGAATGGAACTCTTTTTATGGGGGATAATGCTTTATTTACTTGGGGTTAATTTTTCCAGACTAGCCCTTGGCATGGTGCTTAAGGTGGCTGGATCTCACATGGCCAACTGTGTCGTTCAATCCTGGACCTGATGTCTTGAAAAACACGAGTCAAGTGTGTGTGCACATGCCCAAAACCCAAGAAGAAAACGGAGAAGGGATCCTCCCTGGGGAGTGCGGGGTTGAATTCTCACTTTCCCCTTTTTCTGCCTCTCTTTGGTGAGCACACATGCCCCATAACAAAACTTAAAAAAAAAAAAGTTAGTTTTTCCTTATCACTAAAATTGATCACAAAGATTCATTTATTAATGTACTGAGATTTTTACCTATTCATCTATCTAAAATAAATATAGCAAAGTAGAGTCAAGGTCAATATGCCCTAGTTCTAGTAACTAGGTACTTCTCCACCAGATACTTATAGTTAATCCTCCAGGACACCGACAGAAAGGAGTGAAGCTCTCTCTTTGAAGTTCTATAGCATATTAACTTTCCTCCAAAGGAATTGCAGAAAAGCTAGAACCTGAAATAACATTTACCTTTATTAGATAAAGGTGACAAGAAGGCATCTTGCATTTGTGGACCATGGGATGAAGTTGTGTCTATATCTTGATGGGTGGGGCCAATGTTGCTGAGCCAGCTCCGACTTCGTTGGAGATTAGAGATGCCAACATCCATCTCGAGGTTTAAAAAAGGGTCAGCTGACTGTGACTTTAACAGTTGCTCTCCCACTGCAGGGTAGGTCCAAGAACAAATCAAGGAAATGAGAGGAAATATACTGCCATTTCGAAATCCACTCTTTTAGTCTCTCCAGCCTACCTACCCAATATGAATAGTTCAAATCCAATTACTATTCTGTACTGCACTGTGCACCCAAAAACTAGCGATGTGGAATGTACTAACAGTAAAATGCTGTCTAAAAGGTCACTATATCAGTAGGCAACTTTACTCTGTTGATCTTTTAAGTCATGTGTCTTGGTTTTTTAGATGATAAGAAGTTTCCAAATGCCATAATAAAAAGTTTTTGCCCTTTCCTCAATAATAATTCAGTAGGTCTTCATAAAAAGACCTGACCTGAAAAACTTCATCTTTCAATTTTTCTTTCACCAAACCATACAGTTTCACTTTATCCTCTCATAGTTCAGAAGATGGCCCAAGCTTGCAAAGATGCATTTCCCTGGAATGTGTCCTATCAGGTAAGTCCCAATTTAGCTTCTTTTGAAGTTCATGACTAATTGGTTCTAAAACTCCTTCCCCAGTAAGGTAAGCTTGATAGCCTTTATATTCAGACAGTTCTTAATTTGTTTATAATCTAAGATAACAGTGGTCAGATTTATAAATCAGACTTGAAGGTCAGGAGACTTGAAGACACAGGCTCTATATTATCTGCAGCCTTGGTCAAATGGTGAATGTTCCAACTGATATACAAAAAGTTGGTTTTTATCCACCTGAGTTTGGAATGAAAAGATATACTCAAATAATGACTTATAGCAAAACATTTAGATAAATACTTGGAATAAAATATGATTCTTCTGTACAAGTGACACAAGTCTTCTTACCTGTTCGGTATTTTCCATTTTTGAAAGGAGAACTGATAGAAGAGGCTGGGATAATGGGAAGTGGCCACAGAAAATCTTTGTGGAGTCTCTTCAGAGCTATCACAAAGTTGTCTACCCGGGCAGCTCGGGTGCGTTCCTTGCACAGCCAACTAATTAGTTCAAAGCCCAGCTGGGCTGCAAAGCAGCCGAGGTCCTTTAACCGAACATCTTCTAAAAGGCGCCGAGCATGTCTCCAGAGCATCATGTCAATATACATGTTCTCAGCGCAGTCACTATCTTTGCTCCATCTACAAGTAGAGACAAGAAGACTAGAGAACAATCTTGGCTGGAGGACTTCACACACTTTTATGTAGTAGCAGTGATAATGCTGGTGAGGAAGTAAGAGACTCAAGATCTAATTCTGACTAAGAAGACAATGCATTGGGGCTTCGCTGTGTGGTGTCATATCCTATGAACACCTGGAACACAGCAGGCTCTTAAGACATGTTGATTTTGTTTGTTTGTTTATTTCTTTGGAAAAGTTTTTGCTATAGGGCACATGCGCTTGCCAGAAAGACGGAGAGAGACAGAAAGCGAGAAATCACCCCCCAGGGGGATGGCCATGCCGCAACCCCTTCACCTCCATTCTCCTCTCGGGATCTTGGGCATGCACGCACACGTGCCCGGCATGAGTTTAAGCTGCCGGGTCCGGGACTCGAACTGCGGTCAACCACGTGGGAGTCCAGTGACATAGCCATTGTGCTAACTGCTGGTCCCAAGACATGTTTATTGAGTGAACTCATGAATAGAAAATAATAGTAGGCAAAAAATAATCCAGACCTGGAAGAAGGTAGTGGACAGTTGAGGGGAAAAAAAAGGGAGTAAACAAATGTCTATATGTGAGAAGACCAATGGAAAGAGAGACAGAAGAAACTAAAAGTAGAAAAAGTGAAATAAAATCTATCAGTGTGAGTTATATAGAACACAAAATAAAAACAATTTTTAAAAAGTAGTAACTACAGTTGATTATCCCTTACTCTGATTAGCTGATGTGTTTTGGTAACCGGTACCATGATGCTTTCAGTGAGGCAATAGAGTAGAGGGGTAAAGGGCCTAGTCTCTGGAGCCAGACTAACTGGATTCAGATCTTGGCTCTGCCTTCATTAGTTTTGTGAACATAATCAAGTTTATTTTTTCAGGCCTTTTTGTCCCGTACAATGTGGATAACCTCATGGTGCTGTTATAAGGATTAAAAGACTTACAAATGCTTACAAGTGAGCACCAAGTTATTAGCCAGTATTTAAATTCAAGATATGACTAAGATGCTGATTGCTTGGCAACTGTTTATGGCCCTGAACGGTTGACTTTTACTTGTGTACAGCTCATGACAGCTGTGTGAGTATGTGTGTTTTGGGGATAAAGTCGTGTTAATGGCCAGTGATGAGAGAAAGCAGTAAAATATCACAAAAAATCTTCAGTATCAGTATGCTCTGTGTGCCAGGCACTGTAGTAAAAATGCTAACAATAATAAAAGAATTCAGGAAGAAAGAAAACAAACTGCATGTAGCAACATAGTAAGGAATTAAAAAAAAAACTTATAAATTAGAGGAACTTCTAATAACTTTATTATGTGCAATGTAAATTCACAGTCACCTCAGAATATAATAACCCATCCATGGATGATACAGGTTTGGCCTCCAGAATACAACTCCTTTTGGCTCTCCTACTGTTTAATGACTTTCCTAATAAAAAGGTCACAGGAAATTCAGATGCATGAGCACTAAATTTTCTTTTTTTTGCCAAGCAGTATAGCTGTAAAGAAAGGTAAAATGATTGACTTTAAGGAAACTTTGCGGCCAGGCCAATAGCACAGCAGTTAAGCACTGTTCAGAGGGACCAGGATCCCACATAGCCAGATACAGTTGGAATCCCTATCCCAGTGTCTTGCAAAACATATCAGCCAAGGACATGCAAATGTCCCCAGGATCCTGATGGAATGGAGAAATGGAGGAAGGCTGCTTTCTCAATGTGTCTATGTGTACCCTCAAGCATTAAAAATGGGTTTTGTTTACTTTTTAATTCCTGGAGTACATGTGAATTTGCCAGAGAAAAACAGAGGCAGTGAGAGGAGAAAGAAAGAGAAAAAGAAAGTGAGAGAGTGAAAACACCACCTACTGAGATATGGTCACACTGCAATCCCTTCTCCTCCATTTCTCTACCCTGTCAGGAATTGGATACATGCATACACAGCTGTCTTGAGTGTTTTTCAAGCTGTCAGGGCCAAGACTCAAACTGTGTTCAGCCATGTAGGATCCAGATCCCTTAACCACTAGACTATTGGGCCAGCAAGGACTTTCAGATTATCTGCAGACCTGCCTAACTTCTTTTTTATTCTAATCCTCTATTTTTAGAGGCAATTTATAGTTAGGTGCATTCAGAACAGGTACATCAAGACCTACCTAATACAAAGGGGCAGAAACTCTACAAATAGTACAGAAGTGTACTTAGGAGGAAGAAAAAAGGGAAGGCTCTATGTAGTCTCTATGCCTTCTGGGAATAGAAAAAAGAAGTGCAATCAGATTAAATAGTTATTTCCATACCACTTAATTTTAAAAATTCCCTCCCTGAAATGAAATGCAACTGATACCCTAAAAACAGTAATGGCTTTTTGGGTTGTTTTGGTTCTGTTTTTACCTTTTTCCAGAAGGACCAGATGGCATACTTAGTGTTTTCTGTAAGTTGAATTTACTAGGAGGAACACTTTCAGCTGACTGGGATAAACTGATGCTTCGATTCCTGAAGAACTCAAAACCACCACTTGAACTGGGTTCCTGTGAGCACACACAATGTGCAGTTAGACAGAGGTACCATGTAGGTGCATTACTTGGTCAATTAGCCCAATTTTGCAATTTACCTGAGCTGTAGGTGTGGATGGAGGTGTCTCAGATTCTCCAGAGCCAATGGCTTTAAGAAATCGAATCATGTGTCGACAAAGGTCCCATTTGCCTTGTTCCAGTGCTGTGTTGAACAAAAGGGTGGCATGTTGCCTACTGACTGCTGGAACTTCCATGTTCTACAGAAAAAAAACAAGTAAGACACATTTCTTTTATATTATGTAACCAGAGGATGATATGAGCAATTCTTTACATTCCCTTAACTCAAGGACTACATCCTTAGTTTTGTAGATGAAAAAGAACACTACAAAGCATCATATAAGGAGAAGTGAAGCTACGCTGCTGGTCTAATAATATGGTATACTGACTCCACTACATCCTAGATACCTCATGTACACCTAATGTATTCATTTTTTTCCTCCCAGAGTCTCTGAAAAAGAGGTGTATAAAAATAGGATACATAGCATTCCCACTGTAAGTTGAAGAAATTGAATTAAGTAACTGAAGATCAGCAAAAAAGAAATATAAATCTAGGTATGCCTGACTCTATAAAAAAAAAAAAAATCAGGTCTGCCTCTTATGACAGAGTTTTTGAGGAAGTGACCAAAACTCTCTGCTTTGGGCAATAGCCAGCAGTGCTGTTATACAGTCAGCATCATCAATGTCTTTCACAAATCTGACCTTACTGCTTGCCTTGGCCTTCATGGAAAGGTGGTTAATAGACAAGCTATTTGTAATCATTACTGCCCATCCAGAGCAACTTAGAAATTCCACTGGAGCAGAAAATAGTTTCCAATTCCATTGCTGAGGAGATCACTGAAGGGCTAGACTGATTTTGTTTCTTTCTATTTTTATAATTTGAGGCTGCTTCTTTAGGGCTAAAGAATCACTGAATCTCAGGTCACCCAAGCTCTGCTTGACTATTTTCTTTGGTTTCAGTGAGTTTTTTTTTTTTTTTTTGGAGAGGTTTTTGCTATAGGGCGTGTGCGCTCGCCAGACAGAGAGAGACAGAAAGTGAGAAATCATCCCCCGGGAGGATGGCCACGCCGCAATCCCTTCTCCTCCATTCTCCTCTCGGGATCTTGGGCACGCACGCACACACGCCTGGCGTGAGTTTTAAGCCACTGGGTCCAGGACATGAACTGCGGTCGACTACATGGGAGTCCAGCGACATAGCCATTATGCTAACTGCTGGTCCCTGTTTCAGTGAGTTTTTATGAAGCACATAATCAGATAGGAAATCTGCTTCAGGCAGATTCAAACCAGTGTTATGGTAAAACCAACCTTGTAGTAGATAAGTGTAGCCTAACAAACCTGTACTGGACTTACAGGAATAACAATTAGTCCTTTTGTCAAATATGTAATGGAACAAATTTTCAGAAGTCTCAAAGAACCCATAATTTTGACAAAAATCATGTGCTGTGAGAGTCATTATTGAGGCAAGTCCAAGCCTTCTCTCTGCTGTGCAGAGCCTACTGCAGGGTGCTCTGTTATGACCCTGCTCTAATCAAAGTCCTCTCAGCAACTACACACTGCAAAGCAAAAAATCTATTATTGTGGGGAGTATAGATAAACCTAGTAATATCCAAAAGAATACTTTGATGTTTTTATGTATCATTTCAATGATCTTATGTAGTATTTATGCAATATGTACATATGTATTGAAATACATTTATTATTATTATTCAAAATAATATTTTTTTTTTAAGAGAGAGAGATTTTTTGCTATAGGGCATGTGTGTACACCAGAGAGGGACAGAGGCCACTGGGAAAGTGAGAAATCACCCCCTCTGGGGGGATGTTTACACCACAATTCCTTCTCCTCCATCCCCTTCTCAGGATTTTGGGCATGCATGAACATGTGCCTGGTGTTTTTGTTTGTTTTTTTTTTTCCCAGTTTGATATGAATGTTTTTAAATTTTATTTTATAGACTTTCACTGAACATCACCACAGCATACAAACTGCAATTTCCTAGCCAGATTACATTGGAAAGTGGCCTGGTATGAGTTTTAAGCCACTGGGTCTGGGACTCAAACCATGGTAGACTATGTGGAAGTTAAAAAATGTAACCATTGCTCCATCTGCTGGTCCCATTATTCAAAATAATATTCTTAATTCAACTTGTCTTTGACCTATTCGTGGACAAAACAGGATAAAATACCCCTACAATGCTACTTGATAATAGTCAAAGACATACATGGTCATTGGATATGACTTAATTCAATATGAAAGGCATAAACAGAAAACTTGACTCTATTAGGTAAACATAATCACAGTGCCAAGATGTTTCTTCTTTCCTTTGATTAAGTTCATGAATTTTTGTCCCTTCATAAGAGAACAGTTACCTGTAAGATAATAAGATAGGAGGCAGCTGTGTCCAAATCCTGAGCCATCAAACATTCCTCAAATAAGTCCTTGGGGTTGCCAACAGCTGCAAAAAGGTAATTCCACAGGGCATATTCAGTCTTCCTAGCACAATGGACAACTGTCTGCAGGAAGAGGGGGAACTCGGTGATAAATTTTGCCACAGTGGGAAGCAGAGGATCGGGAATTGGCTCCCGTGAGGTAGCTTCTTCTTCTAGTACTTCGTGGAGCATGAGCTCCAGCACGTGAGGAAAGTAAGGTAATGTGGCACAGGACTGGGCCAAGAGCAAGGCTTGTTCCCCAAGGTTCCTGACCAGAAGCTGACGCAGAATGTGGTGGAGGTAGATCTGAGAGGTTCTCTCCACAACACAGAAAGGGAAGAGCACCTCCAGCTGTTCTCTAGCACTGTTCCGAGTATACAAAGAATCATACAGTAAAGTGTCATTGACAGCACCAAGGACTAATGCATCTTCGAAGAGAACAGCCAGGGGATAAATATTGATGTGAAAAGGCAGCATGATCCGCTGGGACAAGAAGGAATGGGGCTTGCGATGATCCCTAGGGAAGAGAGGGAGCCAAACTTTCATTCCCGCACCACCACAGCTCAGCCAGAGAGCCTCCAGAAGGTGACGTTTTTGTTTATTTGCTCGACACGTAGTCCAAACATTTTCAACAGACTGGGCTAATACAACAGGAGGACAGAATGGCAGCTGGAGAAAGAGAGACAAGAATCAGGTTTTCCCCCTATTAAATAGGTAGATTCTTAAGTTCCTAGGTACTAGTTTATGATGTTTTATCAAACTGCTAGTATAACTTTTTGGGAAAAGTAGGAGGACCTACTGAGAATTAAAGTTAATAAGAATTAAAGTTAATAAGAGTACCCTGCCTTTGAAAGTACATACAATGAAATCTAAAATAAAACCCACCCTCCAACTTTACCAATCTAACCTTATTTTCATATTTTAATAACTAATTGCCTGAACAGTAACATCTGAAATACAGAACATTTTATCATGTCACGACACTGTCCTTCACCTGTCACAAACAGTCCTATACACAGAGGCTCAAAACCGATTTTATATACTTTATCTTAGTTTCCAAATCACAAGATAACAGTATCCTCTTAAGTACTTTATTCCTTCACCCTAACCACACACCTTTTTACTGCTGGAAAGGACTTGCCCTTTACTCACAAGTTTCCTTTGGTTAGGGTTACTGTCCTTCTCTCGGATTTGAGGGCCTGACCTGTCCCTCTGCATCATGATGAGCTGTCCTGCAAGGTTTAGCATAATGCTCTCTGCATCACGAACCTGAAATTTCAGAATAAGAAACTGGATTCATACTAATTTAGAAGTATGTTGTTAGCATTACCCCACCCTGTTCATTTACAGTTGAACAATCAACAGTATCTATGAGGCTATACTATGTATAACCATTCTGCTAGGCTTTGTAGAGTATAAGAAGCTTTTTGGCTAGGGTAGAACAAAGCTTAATATATAATGCAATTACTGAATGCTAAGTAAACATAAACTTGGAGGCAGAACTGAATTATGAAGAATCTAAGAACTTCAGAAGTTCACAAAAATGAGAGATTACTTCAGTGACCTAGCTGCCATAGCTACAGAAAGCTTAAATGATTAGAGGACATGCTTAGGTGGAAGAGAAAGGGCTGGGGCTCTAGATGAATTATGCAGTATGAATGAAGACATGGACAAAAATAAAAGAGTGCAACTGGGAATGTAAGAACCAAACCTAGTGGCTTAAAACTCATGCTGAGTGCATGTGCATGCATGCCCAAAATCCCAAGAAGAGAATGGAGAATGGAGAAGGGACTGTGGTGTGGCTATTCCCCCTGGGGTGGAGGGTGATTTCTCGTTGTCTGTCTCTCCAGTGAGCTCACACACTCTATAGCAAAAATCTCTCTCAAAAAAAAAAAAAAAAACTAAAAAAAGACGTCATCTGTCCATAAACATGACAGCTAATAATATCAACATATGAAGACAAAAAGCAGAACTTAAAGATGTGTGGGAACACTAAGAATAAGACAGGTTAATAGTACAAAGTAGGTAGACTTTAGAGGAAAATAAAAATAAACATGTGAACACATGAATAGAAACAGTAACAATATTGGGGCTGGCAGGTGGCATGGTGGCTGAGGCGCTGGATTCCCAAATCGCTGACCATGGTTTGAGTCCTGGACCTGGTAGCTTGCTTTCTTACTTTCCCTCTCTCTAGTAAAATCTAAAAATATGTAATAATAAGAGTAATAAATAAAAGAATTCTTTAAAAACGATGTGTGAGGGAAGACCCCAAAACAGTAATATTGACAATTTAGAGATCGGCATAGGAACAATTCCTCAAACGTTCCCAAAGACCTTCAGAGATTTTTTGTCCTTTATGACTAATGTTCATAATGACCACCTTAAGTTTTTTTTTTTTTTTTTTGAGAAATTTTTGCTATAGGGCGTGTGCGCTCACCAGACAGAGAGAGACAAAGAGACAGAAAGCGAGAAATCACCCCCTAGGGGGGATGGTCACGTGGCAATCCCTTCTCCTCTCGGGATCTTGGGCATGCATGCACACATGCCTGGCGTGAGTTCTAAGCCTCCAGGTCCAGGACATGAACTGCGGTCAACTACGTGGGAGTCCAGCGACATAGCCATTACACTAACTGCTGGTTCCCGACCACCTTAAGTTTTAAGATGGTAAACTTCAGCACAAAATGTCACTCTACTTCAGTAACAACAACAACAAAAAAAAGGAAGCTTTTCTTCACTTGTATCTACTTATTCAACATTTATCACTGTAATGTTACAGGTGACCACTGTAGCAAACTTAAGCAACTTTAATGAAGCTTTCAGAAAAAGTAGGGGTACTTGTATGCTCAAAATTCTAAATCTGAAGGAAAACAACACCACTAGGGTAGATCATTTTCTTTGAGAGCTTCAGGAATAAGGAACTTTCTCTCATGAGAGACACTATCTTATTGAACAGTTTTCATTGTTGTTGTTAGTTTTTCTTATTTTAGCAGAGAGGTTTTTGCTATAGGTGTGCACGCTTGGCGGAGAGAGAGAGAAATAGAGACAGAAAGTGAGAAATCACCCCCCTAGAGGGGATGGCCGTGCCGCAATCCCTTCTCCTCCATTTCCTCTCAGGATTTTTGGCACACATGTACACGTGCCCAGTGTGTGTTTTAAGCCGTTGGGTCTGGAACTCAAACAGCAGTCAACTAGGTGAGAGTGCAGTGACAGAACCATTATACCATCTGCTGATTCCTGATGTTATCTCCTCTCGGGATCTTGGACATGCATGCACACACACCCAATGTGAGTTTAAACCATGGGGTCCAGGACTCAAACCGCAGTCGACTACATGGGAGTTCAGCGACATAGCCATTATGCTAACTGCTGGTCCCATTAATCTTCAATATTAAATCAAGATTTACTTTGCTGTAGCATTTGTGATCCGCCCCCCTGCCCGTACCAGGTATCATCAGTCTATTTCATATTATACTTCAACTTCTTAATCTGACCTTTGCCAAATTAAAGTTACTTCTCCTTTTTGTAAAAGGCCCTCTGAAAATGGGGCACCTAGTACTACAGATGTCACTGATTGCCTACCGTATCTGAAATATACAAATAGTATCTTTTTCCCTCCCTAAAATAAAAGCATCAAACATAATCAAAAGTATAACAGGATAACAAACTTCCATATTCCTGTCATCCACATTCAGAATTATTGTGATTTTGCCATATATGTTCCATTTATCTCATGTTTCTTTCTTTCTTCTTTTTTTTATTTTGATTTGCCAAAATATTTTAAAGGAAAATATGCCATTTTACCTCTACATAGTCAATACACATTCCTAAACTATATGGACATTTGCTTGTATAACCACAATGCTAATATCCCATTTAATACAATTTACAGTTCTTCCCTGGAATTAATCTCTCAATTCATATCTAAATATTCCTAGTTATTTTAAGTGTCTTCTTTTTAAAAATAATTATTTAATTTTGTTATTATTATTTTTAATTTGCTACAGGGCATGCACATTCGGGGGAGAGGGAGGGAGGGAGGGAGGGGAGGAAAGAAAGTGAGAAAGCAAGCCACCAGGTTCGGAACTCAAGCCATGGTGGCACATGTGGAAGTCCAGCGTCCTAAACACCACACTATCTGCTGGCCCCCAAAGTGTCTTTTTTACCCAGTTTGAATGAAGACACAACTGAGCTTACTGACTTGTTTCTGTAGTGTAGCAGTCATCATATCCACCTCATAAGTGAGCTTACTCTCTGTGTATTTTGTTGTTATTTATATATTTAGTTATCTGTTTACTGTCTGAGCAGAAACCATGTCTGCTTAGTTTGTCCTTACAGGCCAGTATCTTTATACAGGATATACATTCTAAACAGCTAATATTTGCTAAGAGAGGAACTCCAAAGATATCTGGTAATGGAATGGTACCTGTTGTGGCATTTTCAGGGTGATTCCATTTTCTGTACTCACTGATGTCAGAGTAACAGATACTACCAGGAAAGGGTGAGGAATGTAGCGTGACATGGAGACCTCCTGAAGAACTTGAATGCCAGCTATAGTATTTAAACTGCAAAAACAACAGAAACACACATACTTCAACAATAATAACAAGTTTTTTTCTTTTTTCTGCTACTATAATATTAGTAGATTTCACGTTTTTGGAAAAATCAAATGTCTTCTACTTATCATCCTCTTCTCCCCAAATATCCTACTAATGGGAGGTTAGTTAGCAAGGTCTAGGGAGCCAAAGAACACATAAGGGGATGAGAGAAAAGATAAAGAATAAGATGTAGGAGGGGAGAAAAAAAGGGAGAAAACTGTAAGAATAGAAATTTTAAAGGAAAAAAACAGGTTGGCCAAGAAAGGATGAGGTTTCAGTCACTGAAGGTAGAAAGGTTTCTTACTTTTTATCTATCTATTCTGTGCTACTTCAGCAAACACATACTTCATGACCATCTGAACAAACAAAAACCTCTGAGAATAAAATGACCCTCAGTGGTCTAAGTGCCTCAAGTTGACCAGATGCTAAGAATATAGGCAACATGAAACAGCAGCAGGACTGCAGTTTTCCTGCCCAGACCAAAGCCATCCAGTGGTAATAGAAATGAGTCTATGAAAGACACACGTTTTATGGTCTTAAAGCTGTGAAACTCCTAAATTTCCTCCAAGAATCAAACACTCAAATAGTCAGTACCCATTTCTTTTGGAGAGGTTTTTGCTGTAGGGCACATGCGCTCGCCACAAAGACGGGGAAAGACAGAGAGACAGAAAGTGAGAAATCACCCCCCAAGGGAGATGGTCATGCCATAATCCCTCAGGATCTTGGGCATGCACGCACACGCGCCCAGAGTGAGTTTAAGCCACTGGGTCCAGGACTTGAACCACAGTCGACTACATGGGAGTTCAGTGACATAGCCATTATGCCAACTACTGGTCCCAGTAACCATTTCTTTTCTTTTTTCTTTTTTTTTGGAGAGGTTTTTGCTATAGGGTGCGTCGCTCACCAGAGAGACAGAGAGATAGAAAGCGAGAAATCACCCCCCAGGGGGAATGGAAATGCTGCAATCTCTTCCCCTCCATTCTCCTCTTGGGATCTTGGGCATGCACGCACACAAGCCTGGCGTGAGTTTAAGCCACCGGGTCTGGGACTCGAACCACAGTCGGCTACATGGGAGTTCAGTGACGTAGCCATTAAGCTAACTGCTGGTCCCCCCAGTAACCATTTCTTTTCAAGGCTGTGAAAAGACCTTAGTTATCTAAGGGTCTACCCAATCCCCAAAAGGTATTTGTTCAAATGAATATAGGAAGATTAGTTGAAGAAGTTATTTTGGACTATTTCTTTATTCACACCCCCCCAAAAATCTATTATATGAATATTACAAATTACAACTTTTTACTTTTTGACTTCAAAAAAAACCCAGAAAATTAAACATAAACATGGAATAACTATTTTGAGAAAACAAATTATAGAGGTGACATGATGAACAGAAGCAAAAAGTGACTTTTCACATGCTATATACTTACCCATCAGATTTTCTTTCAATACTGTAAAGGCATATTGAACAGTCTGCTCTAAATACTATTACCATATCCCGGAAGACACTAAGCAATAATGTTTCTGTTTGTGCTTTGGTGACATGAGCGAAGGCATTGTCCAGATTTGAAGTTCGTAAGTATACTCTGAGCTGAAGAAAACAAGATAAATGTAAAGGATGATTAAATACTTGAGACATATTGTATTTTTTTTAATCTACTGACTTTTTAAAAAAAGAATAGAGCCAAAATGATCAAAGATCTATCCAAGGTTTAACAATACATGGCTAATGTTTATATTTTGGCAAACTAGGCTTATACTACAAATAACCAAAAGATGACACGACCAAACCTTTGAAAGTACTACTATGAAATATACCTTCAGACCTACATATTTAGACCTGATATGAGAACAGCACCTTCTCAAAACAAACAAGAAATCATATGAATCAATAAATTAATAAATGTATATCTAAAAATAATCATTCTTATATGACTTGCTTTTAACAAGTATTTACTATTTTTGAACTTTTAAAGAATGTCTAACAGTCAATGTTTTTTTAAAAGGCTATCTCAGAAGGGCTGGCAGGTGACGTGGTGGTGCTAGACTGGTCCAAGGTGCTGGATTCCCGCATGGTCGACTATGGTTCGAGTACTGGACCTGGCGGCTTTCTTTCTCAATCTCTCTCTCTGTGATCAAATTAAAATAAGTAAATAAATAGTTAATTAAATTTATATTTTAAAAAGTTATCTCAGAAGTACAGATTGTCAGGCCAGTCCTCTAGTATTATACTGTGGACTGGGATCTAGATGTCACATAACCAATTGCAGCTTGAATCCCGGCCCCACAAAACAGGCCAAGCACATGTGCATACATCTCTCAAATCCTGACATCATGGAGAAATGGAGGAAAAAGGATTGCAGTGTGACCCTGCCCCACTGAGAAATGCATGCATCCATGCTTGCTTGCTTGCTTGCTTGATTGCTTTCTTCCTTTCCCTTTCCCTCCCTAGCAGGCTTAGGTGCCCTCTGACAATAAAAAAGTCCCAATTGTCACTTCAAATAAATGTTATAAACATGATCCTGCTAAAGTAACATGCATGCACTGCTAAGATGCTGTGCTTTACACGCTGGGACCACACAGGAAGTATGGGTTGGATTCCTATTCCGAACTACATGTACAATGGCTTGTGCCTAAAATCCAAACTCCTCAGGGGGAGTGAGACATGAGGATTATGAGCTCATAATCCTGAACAATGTAGCAACATCGAATATAAAAAAAGAGTTGAACATGGTGGTGCATGCCTTCTGTGTCAGCTAGGAGATGGAGGCAGGAGGATCACATCACACCAAGATCCTGTCTCTAAAATAATAATTTAGTAGAAAGACATTAATAGCCTAAAAAGAAAACCCCTTATCTAAAATATGCTATACATTTTTGATGAAAATAATGCTTTCTTTGGTTTTTAATAGACTATTCTCTACATAAAACTAAGTAGTATTAAACAGTTTATATATAAAAATATTTTATTTCTGAGAAAAAAAACTTACCTCTTCTTGACGGTCACTTATGTTATAACATGCAAGGACAATAAAATCATTCCACCAGGCTAAGCCACCTGTCACAATCATATTTTGCTCCTTCAAAGAAAAAAAAACATAAATATTTATCTTAATAATGTTACCAGAAATGATAAGAAAGGAGTATGTTTATAAAATATTCTTAACCACACAAAGAAAGCTCAAATTATTTTTCTGCCTCTTTCTTCCACTACTAATTATTTTAAGACATTTTATTAATAATGATTTACATTCTATTTTAAAATATTATTTCTGTAATGAAGCACATACATCATTCAAAGTGGGAACCATATAGTATTATTCCCTTTTTTTTTTGAGAGGTTTTCGCTATAGGGCCGCGCACTCACCTGAAAGACAGAGACAGAAAGCGAGAAATCACCCCCCCCGGAGGGGGTGGCCATGCCACAATCCCTTCTCTTCCATTCTCCTCTTAGGATCTCGGACACATACGCCCACACACCTGGTGCTGAGTTTAAGCCACTGGGTGCAGGACTCAAACCGCAGTCGACTACATGGGAGCCCAGCGACACAGCCATTACGTCAACTGCTGGTCCCCATATAGTATTATTCCTACATCCCCAAAACCTTAATTGTTTATTTTATTTTATTTTTTAGAATTTTGCCATAGGGCATTTGTGCTTGGGGGGTGTGTGTGGTAGAAATAATCCCTTAGGTGGGTGCCACGCCTCACTCTTTTCTCCTCCATTCTTCCCTTGGGATTTTGGGCACGAACATGATTTTTCAGGCCACTGGGTCTGAAACTCATACACAGTAAGCCATGAGGGAACCAGCACTTTAACCCCCACATCACCTGCTGGCCCCATCAAACCTTGATTTTAATCATGGCTTTAACATTTATCAGATGACTGACTCTGAATTCTATTTTCACAAATGGTAACAATAGTGCTTTACAGAGTTTTTATGAAGATGAATAAAATACATGAAATCACCTTAAATAGGTACCTATTAAATGGTTTATTTCCTTCTCTTTTTCCTATTCAATTCTGGCAGAATCTAACTGCACATACACACACATATGCACATACACATAACACACATACACAACCCAAATACACATATCATACATAAACAAGCATAAATTGTCTCCAATTGCATGGAAATTTATTCTGATCCTATCTGATGAACTCAACCCAGAATTAAGAGTAAATTCTCAACCTAGGGGCCAGCAGATGGCATAGTAGTTTTATCACTGGATTCCCACATGGCTGACCATGGTCTGAGTCCTGGACCTGGTAGCTTGAAACTTTCACCAGGCACGTGTACGTGTGTGCCCAAGATACTGGGAAAAGAGAAGGGATTGCAGCTTGGCCATTCCAAGGGTTATTCCCACTTTCCCTCCCTCTTACCTCTTTCTTAGGGCACATGAACACATGTGTCCTAAGGCAAAAACCTCTTCAAAAAAAATTCTCAAGCTAAAAATAATAGCTACTAATCTTATCAAGAATTAAAAACAAACTAACGATTTCAACATAAGTTCCTTGTGAAACGTCAAGTACTTCATCGGAATTGACTTAGACACCATCCAGTATCACTTTTATGTATTTGATATTCTCATTTTTAATAAGAATTATTTACTTCATAGTTATTTTACATTGTAGTTTTCCTGTACACTTTGAGAAATAAGTACTTAATTTAAAAAGACTAACCTGGGTAATGTTTCCAAAAAGCTTCCATTTTTTGGTGAGTAAAGAGTAATGTGCAAAACCAAACTTGCCAACCACAGCAATATTCTGTCCAAGCTTATCAATAGCTGAAAACTGTTAAAAAAATAATAATAATAATAACCATTTCTTATAAGACTATATACTTTGTTAGGTAGAAAGAGCTTAGTATTGCATTGGGCAAAGAGACTGGTAATAAATATTTTGCTCAATTAAATCTAAGTATACAGTTACACTTGACAAAATGGATGTTAATAGCAATGTATTATAATACACCAAGTATTAATATTTTACTCTTAGCAGTAACCACACTGAACGTCTCAATTCTCCGAAGGGCTCAATTTCATAAATGTGCCTTGCAGCAAATATTACCCAATGAAAGTTAACACCAACAAAATACAACTTACCCGTATAGGCCAATTGCTCTCTAGATAGGTGCTGGAAATCTATAGGAAATAACATATCAGTTTGGTAAGACTTATGAAATGTATTTAGAGTTTTAACGTAGCACAATGAAATTCATCTTCCTGTATGTTTAAGGTGCCCCCAAATAATGGATATTATTAGCAGAGCACTTTGAGTTTACCATTCATATCGGAAACAGTTTCACATCTCATGTCTTAACAATTTCAAGTTTCTAAACATCAGGTTTTTCTCTCCCCTTTATTGAATTCAACACATACAGGCTGACAAGGGATTTTTAGAGAAGTGCCCATAAGTGCAGCCATAAATCATGCAGATGAGCAGTTCGGATTTATTGATGTAGACAATCCCTAAACAACCATATCTAATAAAATTATAGCCTCAGCAAAAGTTTCATTTTTTTTTTTAAAGAGATTTTTTTTTTAGAGAGATAGAAAGTGAGAAATCACCCCCCAGGGAGATGGCTACACAACAATCCATTCTCCATTTTCCTTTTGGGGATTTTTGGGCACATGCACCTGGCGTGAGTTTTAAGCTGATAGGTCCAAGACCTGAACCGTGGTCGACTCCATGGGAGTCCAGCAACATAGCCATTATTCCATCTGCTGGTAAAAGTTTCAGTTTTTAATGGTAATATTTTTAACTTTTTCTGATTAAAAAAGCAATATTTATGAAATCAAACAATATAAAGATGTACAGAGTCCAAAATGAAATTCTGTTTCTCAGAGGCAACCCCTGGTTAGCTTTTATTCTCTAAACAAATCCACAAACAAAGCTACTATTTTCTCTTGGAGTATTCAATTTACTTACTTAAAAAACTTTTAATATATAAAATATTAATTCTTTACTGGCAACATTAAGTGGTAAATATATTGCTTGCCTCACAACTCTACACATGGTTATGTTCTTTGAATCACTCCAATGAAACTTTTAAATTTAAAGAAGCCTCTATGGGATAGCAATGTAGAGTAAGTAAACTCTAGCTTAATTAAGGTTATGATCTCTCTATTAACCTACTGATTAAACAGTTTTGGTGAGCACATGGTGGGAATGGGGTGAGAATTAACAGGACAGAAAAATGTAAGAGTCTTCTAAGTTCCTCAAGAGAAGCTTCCATTTATTTAATTTTCATTTTACTAAAAAAAGAGTATCACGTATTTCAAAAAAGAAAGTCAAATTAAAAAATAAGAAAAGCACTATATAGAAATCATCTATATTAAACCTGGTCAAATTTATTCCTAAAACTATTTGTTATACTTCCTTTATTATCTCATAAGCCAATGTAAAATTCACTAAAATTAATAGCTTTTACTGCATTAATAAGTTTGCAAACCAGCAATGGATTGCTGAAGCTCATCTAATAGAATTAAAGATAACAGCGTTACGATATATGTCTGAAGAATGCTGATCCTCTTTCTTAGCAGATATGCTTCCTGTTTTGCCAATTAATAAAATGTACTATGACAAGTAGAAGTAGTTCAGAATAATGATAAAGTTAAAGTGGTGACTAGGTGGCAAAAAAAAAAAAAAAAAGTTAAGAGCAATTTTCCAAGAGCCTATAAGTTAATTTTTTTTTCAAATAAGTAAAATAGTCATTTGAAGGATGTACCTGAATGTAATTGTTCTAGCCACCCATGACATTAAAAGGAAACTTCACTGCCCCCATCCTTGCTATTTCATTAGTACTTATTAAGTATATGGATGATGCTGGAGCTAGGATCTCACTGCCAGAATAAATTTCAGTACGAAGAATTTCTAATGATAAGAACCAAAGTTAAAATTCACCAAACTGGTCGTGGTGGCACCCATCCTATGGCAAAATTCATCAAATGAACACACTACGATGAATATCCATTAAGGAAAGTGATCTTTTCTTTAACTTGCTGAATTCTATGAAATGACACAAATCACAAATGGTTTATTTCAAAACTCAAGGTGTTAAGTTTAATCTTGAGAAGCTATGAAATACAGACTAAAACAAACACTTGTATTTTGTCCTGTAGGTCATCTTTGCTGGCCTATGTGTCATTTGAACTTTGAGCTAGCTCTACACAATGCTGAGAACAGGAAATGGCAGCAATAAGGACAAAGGCAGCTAATGGACAATTGGGAAACTCAGGTCATGAATGCACACTCAGGCCACATCACTGGAAAATTAAGTGCTAAGGTTCAGACTCTACCCTTATCTTAGGATTTTTCAGTCTTAAATGAATGCACTTTTTTTTTAAAAGTCATTTTGCTAAAATGCTGACTTCTTGCTCAGACTAGTTTTGACTATAACAATGACACTGAGGGAATCATCCCCCTAGAAGATATGATCTGTGTCAAATACCACACCTGGTGCTTTATACACATTGCACAATGAGCGCAAATTATTTATAACTGAAATTGCCTTTAAACTCCTCTCAGTTGACATCCTCTATTGACATAGACCACTTACATTTTGTGAAACTTACTCTTTGTAAATGTTGGGTCACTGGAAAAGTCACAAAGTATTTGTCTATGCTTTTCTATGCAAAAATGCATCATGACTTTTCTGACAATCCAATAATTAGGTTAACTGTAAAACCAACACACTCAGAACCCAGGATGGTAATCATTTATGCCCTTTCAAAATCCTGAGCCTTAATATAAGTGGCAGACCAAGCAGAAAACAGCTTAAAAGTTGAAATGAGTATTTTCGTTTTAATATTTTGTTCTTTTATCTTACTTCACATTGTTTATGCTCTATCAGCAAACTACTTTCAAAATTTAAAAAATCTGTAGCTTAAAAAGTTAAGAAAAAGCATTATCCTAACCAACTATGAACCCTGCTTCTGACAAGTACATGTTTTGTTTTAACCCATAATTAACACAGATTTTTTTAACAGGGAAGCTGCTAAGAAAGATAAGGTAAAAGGCTTAAACAAAAATGTTAGTACTTTAGAGGAGAAACAAAAAGAGCAGCAGAATTAGGTGGAGCTCGTTAGAAGAACTCTTACGCTGTACAAGAATCATAACGGTATATAACTCATGCAAACAGATTAACTTGATAAGAGAATGTGGTCACTTAGCCTAGAAAAAAGTTTATGTTAAAGAGAATTAAACCAGACACCCATGTATCTTCAGGAAGTCATCATCAATGCCTCAAAAGCCTAGAAGGTAAAGCTTTAGTATTAAATGGACATTGTAAACCAACCTACCAAACCACCACCACGACAATACATTGAACCATGTGGCTGGAGTGCCAACAAAGTATTGAGCAACCCTAAATAAAAGCATCTTCAAATAGGGAACTTTTAAGTTTTAAAGCTCATGGTTGGTGGTATATGACTTAGTACTTAGAATCTAAGTTGTAAAATATATTAGACTGTTGCTTTATCACAGAATAGGGACAGGTCTGCCACTGCTCTGCTGTGTGACCTTGGGCAAGTCACATAACATCCCTGGGCCTCAGTTTTTTCATTTATAAGAATCCGGTTGGAATAAATGACTTCTAAGGTCCTTCCAGCTCTAAAAATTCTATGAGTCTATTATAATTTAATTGTTTTGGGAGTACAACTATGGAGTTATTTTTTAAGGAAACTGGAAATCTTAGATAAGTTCAAGTTTAAGAAGTTCAACTTTGTAAACATCTTTACTTAAAAAAAAAAAAAAAAACAATGACAGAAGAATCTTGCTACTACGTAAGGTCCTAAAATCAGTGCTATAATGCTTGTTTTATGGGAAGTTACTTCAATGGTTAAGAATCACAGAAACATTGAATTTCTGAGCTGGAAGGAAATTGAACTTTTTTATTGCCTGACGGATTTTTGAGTTCCAGACCTACCTTCTTTGATCCTCTGCTCTACTTGGCTCTCTGGTAACACAGACCTGGCTAGGCAGAACTGGCATTGATGCTAGGTCAGTGTAGAATGAATAGTTCAAAGTATGGGGAAATGAAAATAGCAGAGAAATGGCTATAGGAGAGAAGGGAGCAGTGGAAAATTTTAGTCAAGATTAAAAATTTTTACTAAAAAAAAAAAAAAAAAACAATGACAGAAGAATCTTGCTACTACGTAAGGTCCTAAAATCAGTGCTATAATGCTTGTTTTATGGGAAGTTACTTCAATGGTTAAGAATCACAGAAACATTGAATTTCTGAGCTGGAAGGAAATTGAACTTTTTTATTGCCTGACGGATTTTTGAGTTCCAGACCTACCTTCTTTGATCCTCTGCTCTACTTGGCTCTCTGGTAACACAGACCTGGCTAGGCAGAACTGGCATTGATGCTAGGTCAGTGTAGAATGAATAGTTCAAAGTATGGGGAAATGAAAATAGCAGAGAAATGGCTATAGGAGAGAAGGGAGCAGTGGAAAATTTTAGTCAAGAGAGTAGCTGATGCAGTTTTATTTAAAAATTGTTACTAATTATAAAATGGTATGTATACTGTTTGATCTAAAAACTTATTGATGGAAGTTACATACATTTTCTTTAGTGTATACCACATGTCAATGTAGGAGATATTCCTTCAACTTTTCAAATATGACCCTTTTTTTGGTCTCTCATTATCTCAAAGTCAACTAAAAATAACATGGGAGCTAAAGTAAGCTTATAAGGTAAAAATATAGATGGCAGAAGGCACAGAATTATAGAAATAGAAAAAAAAAATAAAAGAAAGTAAGAGTAGGCTCTGATGTATCCAAAACATTCTGGTATCTAGAGGGAAAGAAAATACTCAGGATTCTGAAACTCTATTCAAGTTTCTTTTAAGAAAGTTCAATTTCCCCAAAATTAAATTTAACTGAATTAAAAGTCAGAATTAATTTTCCTGTGAAATGCTAGTTTATTAAAATTACTAAAAGAAACAACTAATTGAAAAGTAATATCAGAGGGGCCAGCAGGTGACATGGTGACTAAGGCGCTGATCAGACTCCCTGATGGTCAACTGTGGTTTGGGTCCTAAAGTTGGTGGCTTGCTTTCTCACTTTCCCTCTCACTCTGGTCAAATTAAAACAATAATAAAAAATAAAATTGAATAATTTTTTTAAAGTAACATCAGAATGAGCAAGTAATTTGGAATAAGACTAAATAATAATAAAATAATTAATAATAAAATTCTGGCCTGATCACAAGTCTGCAATTTGGGTCCAAAGACAGGTACAAGTGATTAACTTTAACGTGGCCCAATATGGACTATAAGTCAGTTGCACCCAGAGTGCTAGTTAGTATTGCCATTTTTCATGAAATCACTATACTCTTGTTTACTCAAATCCACAGAGCTAGCTATATACCCCCCCTAAAAAGGAGATGCAGATGAATGTAAAATAAAGAGCTATCCTCAATGAGAGGGCAAATGTAAACATCTAGTTCTTCATACTACTAATAAACCTAGTAGGTAGGGATACACTCTATACCAAGTAGAAACAAAGAAAGAAAAAAACAAGAATGCAGAAAAGCAGGAGACATGACACTCAAAAGGGTTAAAAAGATTCAAGTTTCTGAAATAATAGATCAAATATTTTAAAAATCTGTTTCAGGTGAATTATCACCAAGAATCAAGTTGCTAGTAATCAGTAACTGAAGACTTACTTGTACAACATGCCAATGCCGATGTCCAAGTAAAGTGCTTAAACCCTGAGATTCTAATCCTCCATCTGCAAATAGGCTCTTTTCCCGACTTAGCTTATGCTCAGAGTGTGCTGAAGAATTCCTGGGATTCTGGGTTTGTGAGGCTTCTCCACAATTCAGATACAAGCGATCCTCCCCCTGAAGCAACACCTGTTCTTGATTACTCTAGATGAGGTTAAGAGGAAGAAGAGGGGGCAAAAAAAAAAAAAACAAATAAAAACAACTCTGTATTAGAGACAGGGAAAAGACATTGATTTATAATAATTTTAATATAGGAAATGTATCATATATTTCAATACTGATTTTCTTAGAGGACAAATACTACATAATGATTTCAATAATTGTTATATTTAAAGAGAACAGACACTGTTTTAACAATTAATTCCAAATGTAAATAAAATCACTGTTAAAAATATTTTATTGGGACCAGCAGTTAGCGTGCTGGCTATGTCGCTGAACTCCCATGTAGTCGACTGTGGTTCAAGTCCTGGACCTAGTGGCTTAAACTCATGCCAGGCATGTGTGCGCGTATCCAAGATCCTGAGGGAAAAATCATCCTGGGGGGTGATTTCTTGCATTCTGTCTCTCTGGCAAGCACACACACCCTACAGCAAAAACCTCTCCCCCAAAAATCTATTTTATTATAGAGTTGTTAAATACACCCAGGTTTACGACTGCTATAGTAATGCCTGTTACTACTCTAAGATGGCATTTATTATTTTGTTAAAGAATTATTTATCTGGGACCAGCAGTTAGCATAATGGCTATGTCGCTGAACTCCCATGTAGTAGACCGCAGTTCGAGTCCCGGTGGCTTGAACTCACATCGGGCACATGTGCGTGTGTGTCCAAGATCCCGAGAGAAGGATGGAGAAGGGATTGTGGCGTGGCCATCTCCCCTGGGGGGTGATTTCGCGTTTTCTTTCTGGCGAGCGCACGCGTCCTATAGCAAAAACCTCTCCAAAAAAAAAAGAATTATTCATCTAATTTTTATTTATTTAGTTAGTTTTGTTGTTGTTGTTAATTTGACCAGAGAAAGAGAAGGGGAAAGTGAGAAAGCAAGCCACTATGTCTAAGACGTGAACCATGGTCAGCCATTTGGGAGTCCAGCACCTTAACCACCATGCCATCTGCCAGCCACCCCCCACCCCAAGATAGCATTTCTATGAGAGATTTTTCCCACTTAAAAAGCGGAATATAACTACTTATTGTTTACAGTTTACAAATTAGTTTCACATAAAGTAAGCCATAAACGGTAGTGACAACACTGATCAAAGACTCTGTGTGTGTGTGTGTGTGCATGCTCACCCATGAACCCACATGGCAAGAACAAGGGGTAGGATTTAGGGACAGAGGATAACTGGATGATGGAGGATCTTTTAAACTACGGGTAAAGAGAAGGAAAAAAAGTTTGCAGTTCTAGTTGAAAAAAAGTCAGTTACTTGGAGAATGTATGGTTAGTGCCAAGGACTGTTGTCAGGTTGTAATGACATTCAGACAAATTAAACAATTTCTTTTTCTTTTTTTTTTTTTTTTTTGAGAGGTTTTTGTTATAGGGTGCTTACACTTGCCAGAAAGACAGAGACAGTGAGACAGAAAGCAAGAAATCAGCCCCCAGTGGGGATAGTCATGCCACAATCCCTTCTCCTTCATTCTCCTCTGGGGATCTTGGGCATGCACGCACATGTGCCTGGCGTTAGTTTAAGCCATCAGGTCCGGAACTCGAACCACAGTCGACTACATGGGAGTCCAGCGACATATCCATTATACCAACTGCTGGTCCCAAATTAGACAATTTCTGCTCTTAGTGATTATACCCTAGACTTTCACATTAGAGCATAGTGTTTTCAAAGATGGGCAGATTATTCACTATTCAGATCAGACAGAATGGCAACCTACCCTTTTGCCTTTCCATTTTAGTCCAAATGCTGTCTTGACATAAAAATCAAAAGTACTTTTATATTATAATTTAGAATGGAGGAGGGGAGACAGAAATACTCTCTTGTTTTTCTGGGGACCTTTAGTCTTCAACTATCGTAATGTGATCTGAGATCCAGGGTATTTTCATATTCTCTCAGTGTGCTGTAAATTTTGATTAAAAGCTGGTTGCACCAAATATTCGTTAGAAAACCACTGATAATAGGTGTCGATATATGCACTCCTAACATGTAACATACACTATTATATATTAAGGAAATATAGTAATATTAATAGATTATTTCAGACTGATAAGCATGAGTTTATAACTGCAATTTGGGGCAGTTTTCCAAATTGGGTTCCTAGAAATTACTTTCTTCAAAATATTTCTTAAAATTCACAGTTAAAGAAACATGGAAAACAATGCCTTTTATATTGGATTGTCGTAAAAGTCCTATGTGTTTTTTTTCATGCAAAAAATGAGCCATGACTTTTCTAACAATCCAATATATCAGCTCCTAAATTTTCATGATGCTTACTGGCATGTTTAAGGTTCTACAATAAAAATATCTCTACAGCTTTATTTTAATGCCTTTCACACTTACATGAAAATAGACTTTTTTTTAATCCTGTGGAACCGATACTAATGTTTCTCATAAAAAGTGCCTGGTGGAATAGAGTTTGGGAAATGCTATTCACATAAAAAAATTATGCTAGTTATTCAAGTACATATTTGACATTTTAAAGAAATGACAGTTTAAAGAACTGCTCTGACCCTATTTGGAAAAAGGAAAAAAACCTGTTCAAAAATATCATTTTGATATAAATATAAATTGAAAACAAAACATAAGCATCACAGAAAATACAAAGATAATATTTCAATTTTAGGAATACAGTCAACATAAATGTACAATAAAGAACAATCTGAAATTCTATTAATAGTATGAAAGAAACTTAAAAAAATAAGATTTTAAATACACTTACCATGCAAGGATTTACAGTGAGCACACTTTTGATAAACTGAAATAGGAGAATGTTGGGCTGTTTAACTATGTTCCTGAGGTCAGACTCAATTTCAGAGTTTTGAGAGCCAAATCCACTGATGACCCAAAGATGATAGCCTTCTGCACCCCAGCTCTTAAAGGGAAAAGAAGGAAGAAAAATGTCAAAGCAATAAAGGGTTTTTATTATCATTTTCTAGCTTCAAATATTCAAATTCTTAAATAACCTATGTTGGCCTTATTATTGATTCCTGAAGTCAGAGAAACCTTTTACAGACAAGAATCACCTTCCATTACTCTTAGTTCTCTCCAGGGAAAACCATCACTGCTCTCTACTTAGAACAATGCAAACACTACCATTCTCAGTTCCAATGCCAGGATCATTATCCTAAGTTATACCTGTTGCTCTCTGTAACTTTTCTAGTAGTTTCATTTAGTTGCCTCTGAAATATGAAGAAACTTCTCATTCTAGAAGAGATTTTGTAATTTTATCAGAACAGCATAGGAAAAGAAAAAAGGAAAGAAAAATAAAAGAATTTTTGGCTAGCCTATGGCCTGGTGTTTAAGGAAACCAGATCCAACATGACCGAAGGCATGTTTTGAGTCCTAAACCTGGCGGCTTGAAAATTATATAGTGTGTACATGATACAAATCTGTGTCCTAAATCCCAACAATACGAAGCAATGGCGGAAAGAAACTGTAGAGTGACCATGCCCTCTTGGGGGTGCTTTCTTCCTTTCCTTCTCTCTCTCTGATGAGTGCATGTGGCTGCTGGTTTAAATAATAATAACAACAACAACAATCCAAGTTTTTTACACTATGCCTATTTTTTAATAGGAAGGGCTTACCATAGAGTTGATTTTAAGAGGATCTTTTTTGGTACCATCGGATCTATAACTGAGACAGAATAGAAACTTAATTTAATAGAGCCTTCCAATGACATAATCCACATGGTTAGCTTTAGTTTTTTAAAAATCAAATTGATTTTGCTCCTTCAAAACAGAAATACATAAACAAAAATACATAATGTAAGAAACAAAACTAATAATGAACCTAGATCACTGAGCCACATTTTTCTAGATTCAAATAACTTGACAGGGTTAAACAGCTTGTGAAAGTGTGCTCATTTCACCATGACTGAGGTTAAAGGTAATAAATGAAGTTGGCAGAGATATCAATGCACCCATATCAACTCACTGGAAATCTACATTAACCCAATGAGATAATGTTGTTTTCTACTTCCTAGATCTTTATGCTATGACTGACTCCTTTTATTAGATGATAAGCTATTTAAATTACATCTCAGTCTTAAATACACACAAGAGTCCAAAAAACAAATACATTTTTATTGAATCAACAGTTTTAAAAAGATGGATGTGTGGAAAATCAATACACTGTGAACAAAATAATTCTAAACCTTAAACTCTTTTAGGGTAAGAGTAAAATGAGGCAAAAGGGTTTATCTATGATATAAGGTTCCTACATGCATATATTGTCTGAGAGAAAATGGAGTTACTTGATCTAAAATTTGTCTTTATTGACTCACGCAAAATCTCCTCCAAGTGTACAAATCAGCTGGGCTCCAAAAACGCTCCATAAAGAAAGGCCTCCATATTCCCAAGTCACTATTACAACACTATTGTCAGGAGACCATTTGATCAGTTTAACAGCTCCTGTTTTGTTCCATATGTCTGTTAAGAAATGGTGACAAGAGTTAAAAAAAAAAAAAGGCTGCTTCAGAAATATGCATTATTTTTTAGTCACTATCTTCAAATCTGAATGAGCAGAAAGGCATGACACTTCAAATAATGAGATAAATTCTGCTCATTTAGGGCTATTTAAAATCAGTAAGGCTGGGGCCAGCAGGTGTCATGGTGATTAAAGGCTTTAGATTCCCACATCATAGCCAAACACAGTACAGTCTCGAATATGACGGCTTGCTTTTCTTACTTTCCCTCTATCTCTCTCACTCTGTCCCTCTCTGGTCAAACTGAAATAAAGTTAAATTTTAAAAAAATTCTTTAAAAATTAAATAAATAAAATTAAATCACTATGGCCATTTGTCTTGACAAGATCTAAGCAAAATAAACTCAGTGCCCATGTGATTTTTAAAATGTAAAAGCTGTTTCTAGATGCTCCTAGCCTGAATAATTACAACTATGTAATCCTAAGTCTCTGGCTTCATGTAAATCAGTTTCTGTAAAATGGGGATAAGACTACAGCAAAAATATTAAAGAAAAATATATGAAAGCCTTAAAAAAGGCTATACAATAAGAATGATAAAAGCTTAAGGAGCAAATTTCAATTTCTAGCAGTACAGCAAATGAATACTTGGAATGATTATCCACACTGTAACAATTAAGATATTAAACAGAATAAAACGGAATACATAAATCTCAAAGTAATCAAAGATACTAGCGAAAAGTATTTTAGCCCTGATTTATTTCTGTCAAACTCTGGAGACCTTGGTATTCACCTCTGATTACTCTCAGGATGTGAAGGACAGGAGCTAAAGCTCAGAACCTGTCCAGCAGGAAATCTAATAAAAGATACTCAAAGGTGTGACTACACTGCTCCTAGTTCAAGGGAGAATGAATAAGAGAATTAATTATCTTTCTTAATATCTATAATGCTTTTCTAACCTACTAGCTTATAAGCCTCCCCCCCCTCATAATGTATGCCTTCAGCATAGGATGTTACCTGTCTCTTTTTACCAAGCAATTTCAGTCCAGTGAGAGGTACTTAGTAGAGATGTGATATATTTATGGCCAATAAGATTTAAATGGAAGATAATGGGCAGATAGGAGGTAAGGATACTTAGACTTTTTGATCAAAAACTCATATAATGTCCTACTTTCTCCTTTCTTGACTCAATTGCAGAAGTAACACCTGGAGCTCAGGAACTACCTTGGGACCATGAAGGAAAGGTCAAATGAAGGTCAATAGTATCTCACCTTTGGATATCTTACTATTTGAGAAAATAAATACTATTTGTTCATAGTAAATTTTAATAGTAAATATTAGGTCATAGTAAGTTGGGTTTTCTGTTAGCATTTCCAACGACACACATTTAATCTGGTGGACAACAGGACACTAAAATGTTCAGAAGGAGACTTCTGTTTGGTTGTGATCCAGCATTTAGAACAGGGTCTACCATATGGTAGGTGCTCAATAAATACTGAATGATAAACTGAATTGGAAGTCATAAAATAACATAAGCAATGAAATCAGTAAGAGACTAGATAGCGAGTCCAGATAAGGAATACAAGGTGATTCAGAAAGTTCTTGGAAGGCTGGCCCTTGAAGTCTAGTGGTTAAGGGAAGCTGGATCCCACATGGCCAGTGATGGTTCAAGCCCCAACCCAGTTTGAAAAACAATGGTTGCATGTGCACGCGTGGCCAAAATCCTAACAGCAAGAAGAAACTGAAAAGGGACTGTGGCATGACCATATCCCATAAGGGGATGATTTCTCCCTCCTATCTCTTTCTAATAAGCATATGTACCCTCTGGCAATTAAAAAAAATATACGTCTTGGAAAGATAGAATTAAAAATATGAGTTTATTTTGGTGCAAAAAATATTTGAAATCCATGCTTAGCTTTTTCATAATATGCATTTTACATGAAATTCTGAAGACCCCTCATATAGGGGCTAAAACAAAATGAGGATACAAGGAACAAAATAAAAAGATTTTTTTTTAAAAGTTGCAGAGCTTCTCTTAGTTACATAGAAATTTCCAGGTCACAGAGAATATTTTTATGTATCCTCACAATATTTGACCTATGTTATATATAATTTAAAATCAGCATTTGTAGGACTAGCAGGTGGTATGGTGGTTAAGGCACGAAACTGCTACATAGCCAACCACCCTTTGAGTCCTGGACCTGGCACCTTGCTTTCTCACTTTCTCTCATTCTTTTGCATACGTGCCCAGTAGCAAAAATGATTAAATTAAATTATTATTTTTAAAAATTAAATAAAAAATAAAATCTGCATTCATTACACGTAGCAGTGCAAGTACATTAAAAACGTTTTTAAAAAATACTTACCAGGATACTGTTTTGCTGTTAGCTCTAATTTATGAGATAGCAGCATGGCTCCAGTGGTGTTGTCTATAGTATACACTTGCACAGAACCACTGTGAAAACAGAAAAATGACTTTTACTGAAACAAGACAAACACAAGGGAACTAGCAGATGGCATGGTGGTTAAGGACGTTGGACTCCTACATGGCTGACTGTGGTTCGAGTCCCGACCTGCAGCTTGCTTTCTCACTTTCCCTCTCTCCTCTCTCTCTTTCTTTCTCACTGTCTCCTCTGGTCAAATTAAAAATAAATAAATGAATAAAGTTAAATAAAATAATTATTTCTAAAAATTTAAGAAAATAAAAAAGACAAAAAATTATGGAAACTGTTGGTAGGAGTGTAAAACTAGAACAAAATCAAACATTTTTAAAATAATTTGCAGTCATCACATAAACCTGAACAAATATATATTCCTGTAATCTAACAGTTTCACTTTGAGATATAACCCAGAAATTTTTCTTGTTTTTTTTTTGAGAGATTTTTTGCTATAGGGCGCGTGCGCTCACCAGACAGACAGAGAGAGACATAGAGACAGAAAGTGAGAAATCACCCCTCAGGGAGGATGGTCACGCCGCAATCCCTTCTCCTCCATTCTCCTCTTGGGATCTTGGGCACGCACGCACACGCGCCTGGCGTGAGTTTTAAGCCACCGGGGTCTGGGACGCGAACCACGGTCGACTACGTGGGAGTCCAGTGACATAGCCATTACGCTAACTGTTGGTTCCCTAACCCAGAAATTCTTAATGTTTAACAGGAAACAGGTACGATATTCAAATAATTGCAAAAACTGTGGGACTAGCAGTTAGCTTAATGGCTATGTCACCGGACTCCCATGGAGTCGACCACGGTTTGAGTCCTGGACCCGGTGGCTTAAACTCACGCCGGGTGAGTATGCGTGCATGCCCAAAATCCCGAGAGGAGAATGGAGAAGGAACTGCGGCGTGGCCATCCCCCCTGGGGGGGGCTTTCTCGCTTTCTGGCTCTCTGTCTCTCTTCTGTCTGTCTGTCGAACGCACACGCCCTATAGCAAAAACCTCTCCAAAAAAAAAAAAGGCAAAAACTGGAAACCATTTCAGTGTCTGGAAACATAAGAAAAGGAAAAATAAACTGTAGTATATTAATTTAACACTATATTACAGTATTCATTAAATGAATGAAATTAAGCCACATGTATACACACACACACATAAATTTATATTTCCTATCCACATACATTTCTACATAGACAATACATTCAAACACAGTAATTAAATTTATTTGTGATAAAAATATAGCAAAAATATACATTTAGAATAATGGGAGTCCTGGAATATTAAAGAAGGGGGCAAACAGCTTCATATATACTGGTAATGTGCTATTTCTTACACTGGATAGTAATTTACATAGATTTTCACTTTATTATTTCTTACATATTACAAACACTGTACGCTCCTTTGTGTAAATAGCATATGTAATTAATTCATTTTAAAAGTCTTTACAAGGGTCAAATTATAAAGGGCTAGAAACCAAAACTAAAATCTCTATATTACTTTCTAAACTACATTTCAAAATTGAACTATGCCAAGATCACTTAAAAATTCCATTTCTGTTTATGGAGCTATTAGAAATTCAAAAATTCGGGTTTTGAAAACAAACTGCCTAGTTCAGTTACATTACTTACACAATATTATAATAAAAAAGACAACTGTTATTCTTTAAATATTTTTTTAATCCAAGGCTACTTTTGCACACATTAGGAATGACACTGGTTTATGACTCCCAGAATATTCTGGCACTTACGCCTTTTCTTTGTAGTAAGAAAAGTCAGATGGTTTCCCCACAACTGCTCTGATCCATTGCCAGCAAGGTCTTGTCCTTCTCAAGGAACAGACTGGGACTAAGTAAAATATCTGTGATAACAGGCTGCCTGAAGTAGCCCCATAGCTTACGGACCCCCTCTCCCCCCAAAATTTCATTTAAGATAATTTCTCTTGTCCTGTTTTTCAAGTTTATTAATAATTTCTTCTGCAATATCTAATCTGTGATTAATCCCCTCCAAACTATAGTCTTCCTCTATAGAAGTCTGATTGGAGTCTTTGTTATATTTTCAGTATCTCAGTTTAATATCTAATACATCTTCACTAGCTCCTTCTTTGTGTTACTCTCTGTTCTTTGGTGCCTGTCCTGTGAAACCTGGAGACCATGGTCTTCTCAGACTCACATTATTCCCATGTACTCAACTTGGGCTCAAGTTGAGTTCCCCGTCCCTGTGCCCCACCCTGGAAATACTCTCAGAGCAACAAAAGCATTTGGAGTTGTAGAGCTCATTTCGTTTCTCGTCTTTCAGGGTTTATGTTCTTGTTGCCTTATATTCCATGTCTTGGATTCAAAAGAGCAATTTCTTATTTTTGTCCATTTTCTTAGTTGTTTTGGGTAGAAGGCAAAATCTGCTATTCTTAGTCAAAAGCCAAATATTTGTAATAGATTTTTTTTTCTAGACTATTTGCCTAATGAGAGAGACTATCTCTTGGTGACAGCAGATATTTGTTTTTTCCTTTGCATTCGACAATTGTCAAATGATACTCTGGGTTGCTTAGTTCTAATAAGTCAGTGAGGAGTGCAAATATTTCTATTGCAAAAAGTAGGTACGAAGTCACTACTTATAAAAGACTGACAACCTTTTTATAATGTTTATTTTATTCATGAGACAGTATGCAATCACGTAGGAGGAAGAGATGAAAGGAGGGAAGCAGGCAGGAAGGCTTCCTTGAGAAGTCACACCGCAATGCCACCCCTAGCCATCAGGGTCCAAGGTGCATGCACACCTTGTGTTTTCAGGTTGACGTGGGATGGCATGTGAACTCACAGAAGGTCATACAGCAACCAGCACCACAGTTCAGCATGCTACCACCTATGCCACCAAGGCCAGGCCCAAATTATCATTTTAACTATCCTATAATGCTTATGTTTTTACTTTCTTTTTTCATTTACCACCAGCTCATTTTAAGAAAAAAAAAATTAATTTTAACTAAAAAAACCTTACCAATCCCAAAGCAAAAACATTTCTACAACGGACATATGGCTATTATACTATAAGTGATCAAATTTACCATTATTTACACCATCAATAAAAACTTGACATTATGCTAAATGATGCCACAAGTACACACCATCACCTATGACCAAATGCTTTACCAGAATCTAATTAAACCTTTAAACATAAAAGTAAGGGTTTAAGAATGATCCTCTGCAAAATGACATTACAGAAAACACTGAGGCAAATCTAGAATGTATGGCATTCTACAAAGAACTGACCTGGATTCTTAAAAATGTCAATGCTGGGGCCAGCAGATGGTGTGGTGGTTAAGGTTCTGGACTCCCATGTGGCCGACAGTGGTTCGAGTCTCAGACCTGGTGGCTTATTTTCTCTTTCTGGTAAGCACACATGCTCTATAGAAAATTTAAAGATAACAACAATAGTAACTAATATTAAAGCAATTCTTTTTTTTTTTAAACGTCAATACCATAAAAATAAGGTATAAGAAATATGGATAAAAGGTGACTAAAAAGAAATAACAACTATATATATTTCATGAATCTTGATTGATTCTAATAGGAACAAAGGAGCTATAAAATAAATATATTCTGGTGAGAACTGGGTTGATGCTAATATGAATTGGGTATAAGATCCTAAAGGGATTTATCATTAATTATCTCAAGTGTGATAATGATACTGGGTTTATTAAGATGTCTCTTTTTTTAGAAACCAAGAGATAATGTATATGCCCATCAGCATCAAAGTGGATAAATTACATTGTATTTCTATACTAGAACACCATTAATAATACAATTTTAAAAATTTCTATAGACACTGGCAAACGTGGATGAATCTCACAAGGTTGAATGAAAGAAGGTAGAGGGAAACAAAAATCTATTGATATAAAGTTCAAAATCATAAAAGACAGAAAACTGGTTACTATGTGAGTCAGCGAGGAGAACTAGCGAGGGTGCAGCTTGTGATAGGCTGGCAATATTCTATTTCTTAACCCAGCTGTGAACAGATAGATGGGTGTTCATATTACAACTTGTTTTTAAACTGTGCATGCTAGATTATGCATTCTTCTTCTTATTATTATTATTATTTTGCTATAGGGTGCATGTGCTTGCCAGAGAGACAGAGAGACAGAAAGCGAGAAATCACCCTGCAGGGGAAATGGCCACACTGCAATCCTTTCTCCTCCATTCTCCTCTCAGGATCTTGGGCATGCATGTACACATGCCCGGCATGAGTTTAAGCCACCAAGTCCGAGACTAGAACTGTGGTCAACTACATGGGAGTCCAGCGACATAGCCATTACGCTGCCAGTCCCTACATGAATGAATTGGAAATATTGAGAACAGCAAATGGCATAATGGTTACATCACTGGACTCCTACGTAGTCAACTGCAGTTCAAGTCCTGGACTCAGTGGCTTAGAACTCACGCCAGGGACCAGCAGTTAGTGTAATGGCTATGTGGATTAAAACAAAATACTGGTTTTATCTGTGAGCTTTAAATGTGCTTAATAATTAAGGTGAACCCATTAATTCTCAATGTCAACACTGATATTAAAAAAAAAAAAAAAGATTACTGAAAAAAGGGCAAAAAAATCTTTCAGATCCCTTTTAAACATTGAAGGACCTAAATGTTAACTAATTTAACTTGTAAGGCAGTTTTCTACCACTGGAGAAATGTTCACTTTGACAAATTAAAATGCTAAACTTCCAAAATATACCCTTCACCTTTGTTTGCTTCAGTCTCATAAAACTCCTTTGGATTTTATATTATGGCTGATGCATAAATTATAATAGGCATGATCATGATCAGCTTTTTTTTTTTTTTTTTTTTTGAGAGAGAGATTTTCGCTATAGGGCGCGTGCGCTTGCCAGACAGACAGAGAGAGAGAGACATAGAGACAGAAAGCGAGAAATCACCCCCCGGGGGGATGGTCACGACGCAATCCCTTCTCCTCCATTCTCCTCTCGGGATCTTGGGCACGCACGCACACACACTCGGCGTGCGTTTTAAGCCATCGGGTCCGGGACGCGAACCGCGGTCGACTACGTGGGAGTCCAGCGACATAGCCATTACGCTAACTGCTGGTTCCCGATCATGATCAGTTTATAAGTGTGTTAAAGAACATCTTACATTCAGGACCAGCAGATGGCATAGTGGTTATGTAGCTGGAATCTCACAGTGCCAACAGGCAGTTTGAGTCCTGGATCTGGTGGCTTGAAAAATCAGGCCCTGTGTATGTGTGTGCCCAAAATGGAGAAGGGATTGCAGTACAGCCATCCCCTCTCCCCCCAATTTCTCCCTTTTCCTATCTCTGCCTCTCTCTCTCTGGTGAGTGCATGCACCCTAAGGCAAAAACCTCAAAAAAACCTTACACACACTTATACTCAAAAAAGATCCCATTCTTTTGGGCAATAACTGTTTTAAAATTCAGAAATCTGTATCAATTACCTTGCACAACCAAATGCCATTAGTCGATACTTGTTGTTTACTGCAACACATGTTCCATCAATAACATCTTGTGGCCAAACTCCATGAAGCTGCTATAATAAAAAAAAATATGGCTTAAAAAGCATTCCCCCAAAATACTGTAATCAATATAATTCTCCTTAAATAAGCATAAAGTTATTAAGACTTTATTTAGTATAATGTACACTGAAAAATATCCATCAGGAATAACATCTGAATATTCTCCCTTAAAATGTCAAGCTTTTTATTAACTGGTTCGATAATACTTCCAAATGAGCTCAGTCCAGTGCTAATCTATTTATAAGCATTTAAAGTATCTGGACCAGCAGTTAGCGTAATGGCTATGTCGCTGGACTCCCATGTAGTTGACCATGGTTCGAGTCCCAGACCCAGTGGCTTAAACTCACACCGGGTGCGTGTGCGTGCGTGCCCAAGATCCCGAGAGGAAAATGGAGGAGAAGGGATTACGGCGTGGCCATCCCCCCTGGGGGATGATTTCTCGCTTTCTGTCTGTCTCTCTCTGTCTGTCTGGCGAGCGTACGTGCCCTATAGCAAAAAACCTCTCTGAAAAAAAATATGGATAGTCAATCTCCAAACTAAAATTAAGTAAAGATGATAGTAGAAACTATATCTAACTTGCCCACTACTACTATTTTCATCATGTAGCACAGAGTTTATCTTCTCAGTCAGTAAAAAGTAATACATTTTATTTGGCCTATCATCTAGAAACTATATATGATCTGTCAATATCTTACTACTCTCTATTATTCCCTTGCTTTATAGTATAATGCAATATCATGCTATCTGGCAACCTGATGCAATAGCTCAGTCTCTACCCTGACTCCCTAAAATGATCATTAGACCTTTCCAATCTTCCATTTTCACATCTGTGAATCTCTTCGCTGTAAAGAGAACATACATATATGTAGTACAATGGCTACCATTCAACAAGTTAAATGACATTATTATTAAGTTTACACCCTATTTAATTCCATATAGGTGGTAAAATAGATTAAGCACAGTTATCTGTTCTTATTTGTCAAATAAAGGACATTTTAGATCACAAATTCTAAGGCAAAGGTGATGATTATTACTTTAGTAAACACAAAAAGAAGCACACTAAAATACTTTATTTTGGAATAATCCCAAGAGTAAAACATTAGAAAAACTATACTACTATTTAATTCCAAAATGAGCTATGTAATCTACTATCTAAACCTGCAATATTTGCTTCTTTATTAGTAGGACCTTTACTTTTAAATTTTAATAACAAAACTAGACATTATTAAACAGAAAATAAAAAAACAGCATTGATTATTATTTGTTTGGACTACTGCGCAAACTAATACTCATTCCTCTAACAAATAGTTCCCAGGTGCTTACTATATCTACCATGTACTGTTCTAGGTTCTAAAGATATGGTAGGTATCCAAACATACCAAAATCCCTACTTGTACCCCTGATTTACATTCGAGTAGCAGACAAATGTGCTAAAAAGAATTGTATGGTAAACTGGAGGTTGAGAAATGTTTTATAAAAAGCAAAACAGGTTTTCCAATAAAGATGACTTTTGAAAAAAGTCCTGAAGGAAATCTAACAAGTATAAAGGCTCTATTGTAATAGTATTTCTGGCATGTTCACAGTGAAAGACTTGCCTCTGTGGATGGGATACAGAAAATAGTTTATGAGGTAAGATATACACGAGCTTGATTGTCACATTAAGAACTTAATGCTGTTTTCTCCAAGTTATATATGGGAGTCACTGAAATGTTTTAAAGAAAGTGTGTGTGTGTATGTAATTATTATTTTGGAGATACTTTTGCTATAGGCCATATGTGCTCACCAGAAAGAGACAGAAACTGAAAAATCACCCCCCCCAGGGGGCAGATGGCCACGTCACAATCCCTTCTCTTCCATTCTTGTCTTGGGATTTTGGACATGCACTCACACAGCACTTGGCGTGAGTTTTAAGTGACCAGGCCCAGGACTTGAACTGTGGTCAACTATGTGGGACTCCAGTGACCATTACATCATCTGCTGGTCCCATGTTTTAAATATTTTTAAAGCTTTCTATTATGAATTATACTGCATTATAGAAGAAATACACAAAATATTCAACTCATTAATATCATAAAATTAATATCATTTGTGGAATTACCACTCATGCCTAGAATTCAGTATCTAGAGTCCCTCCAATATTGCTGACTCCTGAACTCTGTACTCTCACCCTCTACCACAAAAGTAATCTATATTCACAATAACTTCCTTTTTCTCCTTTGAACCATTACAACTTAAACATGCATCCATATATACACTAATTTAGAATGGCCTATGTTTTGATTTTCCCTTTAATTTTGCATAAAATGGAATCACAGCATATATTAGTTTATGCCTGTTGGCTTTTACTCACCATGCTTGTGAGATCTATCTATGCTATTGCATATACCCTTAGTTCATTCAAGTTCACTACAGACTCAAACACTAAGCTTTAGCTCATTAGGTCTCTGGCCTCCTCTAGCCTACTAATCATTATCTTGTTAACATTCCAAAGTCTTCAAGCATATTTTCCTCTCAGCTTTTCTGATTATCTAGTCCTATAGATGGGTTCTGAACATAGTAGAATAATTCAACCTATTTTAATACATCTGTTAAATGTCATTTAATGTATTTTTCCAATTACTAGTAATACATATAAACTATTTTCTTATATATTTTCTCTATTTATACCTTATTTAACAATTGTCTTTTTTTTTCTGTTTGTTTTTTTTTTGTTGTTGTTGTTTTGGAAGAGGTTTTCTGCTATAGGGCACGTGCACTCGCCAGAAAGACAGAGAGAGAGAGAGAGAGATAGAAAGCGAGAAATCACCCCCCAGGGTGGATGGCCACGTCACAATCCCTTCTCCTCCATTTTCCTCTCGGGATCTTGGGCACGCACACACACGCGCCCATTGTGAGTTTAAGCCACCGGGTCCAGGATGCAAACCGCAGTCAACTACGTGGGAGTTCAGCTACATAGCCATTACGCTAACTGCTAGTTTCTACTATTGTAATTTGTTTTTTAAATCCTTAATTTATTGGAAATATTTCTTCAGCCACATATTAATAAACGCTGAGAATATATATTTTGTACTAACTCTTTAATATTCAAGAATCTAATCATTTTTCTTTTTTGAGAGGTTTTTGCTATAGGGCGTGTGTGCTTACCAGAAAGACAGAGAGACAGAAAGTAAGAAATCACCCTCCAAGGGGAATGGCCACACTGCAATCTTTTTTCTTCCATTCTCCTCTCGGAATTTTAGGCATGCATGCAAACACGCCCAGCGTGAATTTAAGCCACCGGGTGCGGGACCCCAACCACGGTCTACTATATGGGAGTCTAGCGACATAGCCATTATGCCAACTGCTGGTCCTAAGAACCTATCACTTTTCCTACACTAATATTTTTGGTTTTGGTTGAGTTCCAAATATAAATACAAATATGTATATACCTTATAGAAAAAAGCTTAAGATTTTTCAAAGTTTATTTTTATTATCTATTTACATGTTATCACAAAAGTACTGCTTATTACTTTACCATTTTAATAAAATTGATAATGAAAAACATTTATTAAAAATATTAAAAGTGATACTAAGTAGGGACCAGCAGTTGGCAAAATGGCTATGTTAATGGACTCCCATGTAGTCGATGGCAGTTCGAGTCCTGGACCTGGTGGCTTAAACTCACACCGGGCACATGTGCATGCATGCCTAAGATGCTGAGAGGAGAATGGAGGAGAAGGGATTGCGGCGTGGCCATCCCCCTGTGGGATGATTCTTGTTTTCTGTCTTTCTCTTTCTGGCGAGTGCATGCACTCTATAGCAAAACCTCTCAAAAGAAAAAAAAAAAAGTGATACTAAGTAGAACAAAAAAAGTCCCTTAAAAATTTAAATCCTTTCCATTTAAAGAGAACAGACAAAATATAAATATTTAGCTCTCCTGACTCCTTAAATTCTAACTTTTGTAACAGAAAAGTAATTTTTTTCAAGAAGCATTAATTGGCAAAAGCAAACAATGGGAAAGGAGGCAGCATTAGAAAATTATGAAAGCTGAGAAGCATATGGATGAATACTAGCCCTAACTAGCAGTAAAGAATACTAAGAAACAAACAAAGAATATTAAAAAATAGCTAAATTTATATTGCATGATACACAAACGGCTTGGGAAATCAGATGATGTCTCTGAAAGACTGGACTAATGCAGTTGGACTGGTTTGAGGCCTAGTTATAAAGCAGTGGGGTCCCCTCAGAGCAACTCCCAATGCCAAGCTTCTAAGATATATTCCACTCCCCATTCCAACAGAAAGCTGAGTATTTTTCTTTAGAGAAAAACGAAACAAAAACAAACAAAAAAAAGAAATCCCCGGAGATCTATGGACCACACTATAAACAGAAATAGAAACTTAAAAAATTCACAGACTGGGAACCAGCAGTTAGCGTAATGGCTATGTCGCTGGACTCCCACGTAGTCGACTGCGGTTCGTGTCCCAGACCCGGTGGCTTAAAACTCACGCCGGGCGCGTGTGCATGCGTGCCCAAGATCCCGAGAGGAGAATGGAGGGGAAGGGATTGCGGCGTGACCATCCCCCTGGGGGGTGATTTCTCGCTTTTTGTCTCTATGTCTCTCTCTGTCTGTCTGGCGAGCGCACGCGCCCTACAGTGAAAATCTCTCCAAAAAAAATAAAATTCACAGACTGAATTTGAGACCTCTAGCTTCTTACATAACTCAAATCCCAGAATACTGGGGTAGCCAGATATATATCCTCTGGAAAGGACTGTAACACTCTTTTCCAAGGAACACTAGAGAGAGAAAGGTGAGGGGAGGGAGGCAATTAGGGAAGAGAGGAAGGAAACAGCCTAAAGATAGGAGGTTCCTTAGGGAAATAACCCACTCAGCTCCTCCTACAGTAGAAATTATGTTCAACCAAATACATCAAAAACCAAAGAGCTATCAATGAATTCCATTTTATTCCAGGTCTCTGTCATAGCAGTTACATCCATACATTAACTACCCATATATTAATTAATCATTAGCTATCAAAGGATCCTAGACAAATAAAAGAGTCAAGGGAATTCTCAGGATGATGATGTTGATGGAAAGCCAAAAAACATAGCTGTGAGAAAGCCAAAAATACAGCTGTGTTAAAAGATGTCCACAGAGTAACCAGTCCAGTTTAGAACAGGCCAGAAGGCTCGAAGATAAATTTATTTAGAAAAATGAAACAGAATACCAAATGCATTTGAAAAAATTCAGGGAATACTTACACAACTGGCAGACAGTTTCTGACTGCAAAAGTGGTACTTTAAACAGGAAGTAAATGTAAAGAACAAAACAAATTATTAATTCTCAGTGAGAGGAAAACCCTGCAGGAAAGGAAAAATAATCATAGCATAGTATGTGGTGGAGCCAGCAGACGGCGAAATGGTTACAGTGCTGGACTCCCATGTAGACGACCATGGTTCAAGTCCTGAACCCAGTGGCTTAAACTCACGCAGGGCATGTGTACATGTGTGCCCAGGATCCTGAGAGAGGAATGGAGGATAAGAGATTCTGGCATGGCCATCAACCCTGGAGGGTGATTTCTCACTTTCTGTCCCTCTCTGTCTTTCCAGAGGGCACATGTGCCCTATAGCAAAAATTTGTCTTAAAAAAACAAAAACAAAATACATAGTATGTGGCCCAGTTCTAATAGGATTACATACCAATAAAAATATGAACAATGGGACCAGCAAATAGTGTAATATTTTCATTGCTGAACTCCCACAAAGTCAACCGTGGTTCAAGTCCTGGACCCAGCAACTTAAAACTCACGTTAGGTGCATGTGCGTACGTGCCCAAGATCCTGAGAGAAGAATGGAGAAGGGACTGCGGCATGTCATCCCCCTGGGGGTGACTTCTTGCTTTCTGTCTCTCTCTCTCTCTCTATCTGACATTTTGGTGAACGCACATACCCTATAGCAAAAATCTTTCAAAGAAAAATAAAACAACATGAACGATGAACAGTAATCTAATATAAATTACAGTCTCTATAGTAGGAAGATGAAAAGAATATATGACTATGATGGAAGCAGGAAAGAAAGAAGTAAATGTTAAACACAACTTAAAAAGCAAGGTGGCCCTGCAGTGCAGCAATTAAGCCCTGTGGAGGGACCTGGATCCCACATTACTCTGGTTTGAATACCATCCCCTGTAGCTTGAAAAACATACTGGGCATGTGTACGGTGTGCCTAAAATCCTGATGGGCTATAGAAATGGAGGAAAAGATAGCATGAACAGAACTCACTGGGCATTCTGGCTCATCCCCCATCCCTGTGAGGATACACAGCCTCTCAGAATAAATAAATAAATATTTTTTTATTTTAAAATTTGTTATAGGTCACATGTGCTCACCAGAGAGACAAAGGAAGAGAGGGAAAGTGAGAAAGCAAGTTGTCAGGTCTAGGACTTGAACTATGGTTGGCCATGTGGGAATCTAGCACCTTAGCCACCATACCACCTGCTGGATCCAAATCAGTATTCTTTTAGATGGCTTAATGCAATTTTTGTATCTATGATGTTAGAGTATTACCAACCTAGGAACCTTCAGTCTCCTTCTTCTGCTCAACTTTACTTTTTAAGTCAGAATTGGATTAAACTGAACCAGTTGAGAATGCCTGTAGTGTTGTTTATTATTTATACTGTTAATCACTGGTCCTCTGAGGGCCAGCAGGTGGCATGGTGGTTAAGGTGCTAGATTCCCACATGGCCAACTACAGTTTGAGTCCTGGACCTGGTTGCTTGCTTTCTCATTTTCCCTCTCTCTATCTCTCTTTCTCTGGTGAACATGTGTGACCTGTAGCGAAATTTAAAAGAACATTAATCATAATGATAAATAAAATAAATGAATCATTCATTTAAAAAAATTATTGATCACTTTCTGTCCCTCTCTGTCTTTCCAGAGGGCACATGTGCCCTATAGCAAAAATTTGTCTTAAAAAAACAAAAACAAAATACATAGTATGTGGCCCAGTTCTAATAGGATTACATACCAATAAAAATATGAACAATGGGACCAGCAAATAGTGTAATATTTTCATTGCTGAACTCCCACAAAGTCAACCGTGGTTCAAGTCCTGGACCCAGCAACTTAAAACTCACGTTAGGTGCATGTGCGTACGTGCCCAAGATCCTGAGAGAAGAATGGAGAAGGGACTGCGGCATGTCATCCCCCTGGGGGTGACTTCTTGCTTTCTGTCTCTCTCTCTCTCTCTCTATCTGACATTTTGGTGAACGCACATACCCTATAGCAAAAATCTTTCAAAGAAAAATAAAACAACATGAACGATGAACAGTAATCTAATATAAATTACAGTCTCTATAGTAGGAAGATGAAAAGAATATATGACTATGATGGAAGCAGGAAAGAAAGAAGTAAATGTTAAACACAACTTAAAAAGCAAGGTGGCCCTGCAGTGCAGCAATTAAGCCCTGTGGAGGGACCTGGATCCCACATTACTCTGGTTTGAATACCATCCCCTGTAGCTTGAAAAACATACTGGGCATGTGTACGGTGTGCCTAAAATCCTGATGGGCTATAGAAATGGAGGAAAAGATAGCATGAACAGAACTCACTGGGCATTCTGGCTCATCCCCCATCCCTGTGAGGATACACAGCCTCTCAGAATAAATAAATAAATATTTTTTTATTTTAAAATTTGTTATAGGTCACATGTGCTCACCAGAGAGACAAAGGAAGAGAGGGAAAGTGAGAAAGCAAGTTGTCAGGTCTAGGACTTGAACTATGGTTGGCCATGTAGGAATCCAGCACCTTATCCAACACACAACCTGCTAGCACCATAAATAACACGTTTTAAAAGTTGAAGGAAATATTCTGAGTAGTAGAGATAAGAATAATTGGAAAAAGAATAAAATAAATAAGGCAAAATTATTGCCTTCAATAATAGAAATTGGCAGGCAGAGAGCAGAGAAGGAAATGTCTGACAGAATTTTGTCCACACAATATTTATGTTTAGTTTGATTAAAAAATTAACCACTAAAATCAAATATATATATATATATCCTATATACATGTATCTGGTATATGTATAGAATATATATCTCAAAAAGGGGAGAGATTTAATAAAAAAAAAGAGTAAAATTAGTAAATGCAAAATAAAAAAGAAAAACATACCTCTGCAGTAAATCTACTTGATACTGGTGTGATAAATCCAACTTTACCATCATTAAATACAACAGCAAAGCCATCAAGTGTGGCACAATATTCCATGTCTCTGATGTGTACATCTGTAAAGCCCAGGAATGAACCTACTGATAAAGACAATAAGCACATGAAATAGCATTATGAAATAAAAACGATCTCGTATTTTGCCTGAAAACCCTGTGTATATAGTTTAAAAGGACAAGAATAATGACTTAACAACTCTATTTTTTCTTACTGAATGGCTCTCTCTCCCTTCTCTAACATAATCAATTCCAAACAAGAAAAATCAACGTTCACTCAAAAAAGTATCTACTGGATAATATAAAATATTACATAACCAGTTCCACCTCATATAGAAAGTAAAACTACCTCTAGATGATTGCAGATCTACTGAAAAGGGCACTGTACAAAGATTAATGGCTTTCCTTCCATTTGTCATTCCTTCCCAGTGAATAAGATGAAGAAGTCCATCAGAGGTAGCAACGAGGAGATCTTCCAGGACAGACTGCAAACTGCAGGGAAGTAAGCAACTTAAACTCAATTAACTTTTAAGAGCACACTGTGAAAACAATTAGAATTGAATATAATCACTTGAAAGAATAGTCATGTACAAAAAAGATTGGAAAAAAATATTTGAAACCAGTTACAAAATCATCTCTATTTGTAATTTGGCAATATAAAAACCATATCTAAAAGCAATTCCATCTGGAACCAGAAATTCTGGAAGAAATTAAAGATTACAGGGACCAGCAGGTAGTGTAATGGTTACATCACTGGACTCCCATGAGGTCAACTGCAGCCCGAGTCCTGGACTGGTGGCTTAAAACTCATACCCGGTTCATGTGCATACCTGCCCAAAATCCCAAGAGAAGAATGGAAAAGGGACTGTGGTGTAGCCACCACCTTCTGCCCCAGGGGGTGATTTCTAGCTTTCTGTCTCTCTGTCTCTACCTCTCCAGTAAGTGTATGTGCCCTATAGGCTATAGGCAGCCAGTCAAAAGCATGATTAATTGGGCCAAAAACTAGAAATACTAAATGAAAGAGAAAATTAGAAGTTGGAAGCATAAGTAATAGCTGACAAAAAAGGAAAAGAGGCAGAGAAGCTGCCTTAACAACAAGACTGATGTTCTTGAGCAATCTGGAGCACTAGAGGACGTAACAATCCTCTAATAGTGTCCCACAGAACTCAATGACAGAAATGTTCTACATCTATACTGACTGATAAAGGTAGCCGCTAGTCACATGCAGTCATGGTACACTTGAAATATAGCTAGTGTGACTAAAGAACTGCATTTTTGACTGAATTTGCTTTTTATTAACTTAAATAACTCCAGATGATTATTGGTCACTGTGCTGGAAGATATAGATATAGCTCCATCCCAATGTCTTGGTATATCTCAGGTATCACCGAGTTTCGCATTGTCACTGATTAAGCAAACATCTTTTGAACCCATACTTCTTGACAAGTGCTATGTTATGTTCTATGATGGATTTTCAAAGGTGAATAAAAAAAAGTCTCTCCCTTCAAAACACCTCTTGACAAATACTGAACAATAATTACAGGCCCACCTGTATCAGTGCAGCAATAGTGAGGAACTACAATGTTGGAGACCATATGGAAGAGAAACTTTCAGTTTCCATGTCAACCTGTAAATGCCAGCTGCACACATGCATGCCGGCTGGGAACGCTGGGGGAAGGAGTGTGAGATGAGACCTCTTTGAGAGTGCTTGTCTCTAACTTTCAGTCTCTCTCACACAACAGAAATAAACAAAAAGAATTATGTAGCATAGTCTCAACACTTACTGGTATTTGCAAAGATATTTAACATTTATTTAATGGAAAATAAATGCCTGCTCTGCTTGCCCTTGTCTGTCCAACTCCTAGGGCAGTACTAGTCATATATGGCACTAAATGTTTATGGAAAGAACAAAGGAAAGGGGAACCCATAAATCAGACTGCAAAGACACTGGTAGAGAGAAGAAAAGAATCATCAAAAAAATCAGTTGAAACTGATTATCAAGAAAGCTAAGAGAATAACGTGGATTTAAGAGAGGGCAATCAAGAGTATCGAGTACTATAAAAAATTCAAACACAAGAATGAATGAGAAGTGTTAAGTGTGTATGATATACACTTTATGAAATACTGTTATATTTCCTTACGTACTCAAGAAGAGAAATACTTTCATCTATGATAGTGGGGAAAAAAGATCTGCTTTAATCTCTAAACAATTCCATTCTTTGAAAAACTGACTTAAATGAGTCATTCCCCAAAGACTGAAGTTAATGAAATATTTATCTTCTTCCTAACTACAGAAGTACTGAAAAATTACAACTATATGTCCCTTTATTCAGCTCTATTTCTTGAACTTTATAGCATTCATAACTATTAAAATTCTGTTTATATAAAGTTTACCTTTTAAAATATTACATATATAAGGAATCTTCAAAATGTTCACGAAAACTGCATATTATAAAGAAACGATGCATGGATTTCAAAATTTTTTACACCAATATTAACTAATATTTTTATTCCATTTTCCTATGAATGTCTAAAGCACTTTGTATTCTTTCATTACAAATTTATAATTAGTGATGATATTTATGTGTAGCTTTTGATTGGTAGAGTATAAAAACTTTATGTTTTAGACCTGCTACTAGATGTCAAGACAGTCAATATAGCAGAGTAATCAATGGTTTATCAGTGATTTTCACTCAACAGGAGTCAACCTAGGTGTTTTCAAACTATATTCTCTCTCTCTCCCTTGGCCTATCTCTTTAGAAGAATCAATACATAGGACAGGATAGTCAGGAACAAGACCAACTTATCCTCCATAACTTAACTGCCTACTAGATGAAACTCAATAATTTTCTGATAAACTTAACAGGGCTCTTAATCGCTGTAACATTATGATCAACAATATTACTATTTTAAAAAACGAAGAGAAAAATGCTACCCAAAGTCAATACAAAAATTCATCAAAATGAGTGAACTAATGAACAACCCTGTTGTTGAAATTAGCAGATTATGACTTTAAAGTAACTGTGATAGGGGTTAGCAGGTGGTGTGGTGGTTAAGGTGCTGGACTCCTACATGGCTGATGGCAGTTTGAGTCCTGGGCCTGATGGCTTGAAAATCAGGCCGGACGCAAGTATATGTGTGTCCAAAATTCCAGAAGGTGAATAGAGGAGAAGGGATCCCATCCTCTCAGGGGGTGATTTCTCATTTTCCCTTTCATTGTCTCTGTCTCTCTCTGGGAAGTACACACACCCTATGGCAAAACCCTTAAAACAAAAAGAAAAACAAAACTGTGATAAACATAATACTGTCTAGAGAAAAAAAAAAAAGATATATATCCCTCTCCTCACTTAACTGAAAGTAAACTAGCTAAAGCAAAGGCGAATGTCTTTTGGTAAAGTACTGAATATTTCCATAAAGGTTGATAAATACACTTTGCCCCAAGCCACCCAAGTGTCTGCCCACCACTGATTTCCCCTTACAAAAACCTAGCAACCAAAGGATTAACTCTTGACATACCAGGGAAATGTCAGGACCCTATACCAATAACTAATTATACCTTTCCAAGTTGTACTGATTCTTAAACATTTAAAGTATCACCCTCGGTTATAAGTACAAAGAAAAAATGCATAGATACAAGCTAAATTATATCTTCAGAGAGCCTATGCAATCACTGGCTTAATGGGCTTAATGGGATTTAGTGTCCCAGATATGTGTATATGTGTTAGTGCATGTGTGCATTTCAAATTTAGAATCTTGACTGAATTCTAAAACACTTAATACAATTATAAAGCAATATGCTTGGCCATATCATATATATTTTTTTCTTTTTTTGGAGAGGTTTTCTTATTGGGCGCGTACGTTCGCCAGAAAGACAGAGAGAGACAGAGAGATGGAAAGCGAGAAATCACCCCCCAGAGGGGATGGCCATGCCGCAATCCCTTCTCCTCCATTCTCCTCTTGGGATCTTGGGCACGCACGCACACGTGCCTGGCGTGAGTTTAAGCCATTGGGTCCGGGATGTGAACCGCGGTAGATTACATGGGAGTCCAACGACATAGCCATTACGCTAACTGCTGGTTCCCAGCCGTATCATATATTACCATGTATAGTATATGGAAGTAGAACAGAATTTATGACTAAACAATTATTTTTAGAGGATTTTATAATTCATGAGTACTCAATTTTCAAAAATGCAAATATACTTCATACTTAACTAATATTAAACATTACATACTACATAGGGCTTTCCTAAGAGCCCAGGATGAAGGAAGAGATGAAATATACTGCAGTATTTGAAAGTTAGAAACAGAATACCTATGAGTTTATTTTGTTCATCTTATTTTGTTTTTTAAGGTTTTTGCCATAAGGCATGTACATTTGCTGGAGATAGAGAGAGAGAGAGACCGAGACCATGAGAAATCAATACCAGGGGTGGGGGGGATGGCAACACCACAATTCCTTTTCTTCAGAGACCAGCAAATGGAACAACTCTGCAAAAATAATAATTAGTGTGGTTTATTTCTAAGCACAAATATGAACGACTCAGGCCCAGAGAGGAGGCAAAAGCTGCCTTTCTTGGAGTGATCAGGTACAGAGGTCCCTTTTATTTGAAATTGAGAGCAAAAGACAACGTTTGAAATTTAGTGAAGGGTTTTTCCATTTGTCTGGCCAAGAAAAGTGGGACATGTGGAAGTGGGGCCTTGTAGGTTATTAGGTGGGTTTTACAGTTTTTAGGGTAGTGACTGGAAAGGAAGGGCTCTGAGATCAGAAAAGAATGTGCTTTAACAGAGATAAGGAGGCTTAATATACCTACTATGTCAGGGGCAGGATAGAGGGAGGATTCTGTTTTCAATATGTTAAAATGGTCTATTATTGTTTGTTGGTGTGACTCCCTTCAGGCCCTCTGGAAAGGACTTTAGAAATAGGAAAAAGCAGTCAGACTTCTGTCCTCACAACTTTGTGATTCAAGTCTTGGACGAGGCAGTTTGAAAAATCACACCAGGTAAGTGAGCATCAGTGCCGAAAATCTCAAGAAGAGAATGGAGAAGTGAAATTATTCCAGAGGGGGATTTCTCAGGTTCTCTCTCTCTCTGGCAAGTGTACATATCCTATAGTAAAAACTAAAAAACCAATAAAATAAAATACATGCTGTGGTTTGGATGTCTCTCTAAAAGCCATGTGCTAGGATTGGAATGTACTGTAAAGGTGTTAAATGAAAACTTAATCCCTTCATCCTGTCTCAGGGTGGGACCTCTGGATGTGATAAGGTCATCAGGCCTCTTATGATTGAGTTCTGGTAGATTTATAAGCGGAAAAAAGAGAATGGAACAGGGAGAAACTTACAAACAACTGCTTTGCTCAACATCCTGCACTCCACTGTGTTGCTGACTCACCAATTGGCCAGTAGATCTTGGCACTTCAAATCATGAATTGAATAAACCTCTATGACTTTATAAATAACCTAGTCTTAGGTATTTTTGTAGCAATGCAACAACAGATTAAGATATTATGACAATACTTTCACTTCTATAAGCAATAATATAACCATTATACCTAACTTTGACTTACATTATTTGTAGTGATGAAAAGGGAAAATAAAATGACTATAAAGCCTCCGTTTCATGTCTTCTCACGCAATTCAAAATCTATCAGAAATATCTAACCAAAGGTCAAATATGTATCACAAGTGTTAATAACACTGCTCTGAAATTCAATTATTTTATTGGAGTTTTGAGAGAAAAAAATGTAGCAATTTCCAACCACCTTAATCTTTAGATTAAAATCTAGCATCTGGGGGACAGGAGATGGCGTGGTGGTTGAGGGTGATGGACTTCCACATGGCCGACAGTGGCTCAAGTCCCAGACCTGGGCGGCTTGCTTAGCTGAATATGTTTTTTGGAGGAGTCCAACCCGGTAGGGCCCCAGGATCTGTCTGAGCACCTCCCCCAGCTTCCGGTTGGTTCAGTACGTTGGCAAGGCCGCTACTGTGCGCTCCCCCCACCCCCGAGGATTTTGCTCCAGAAACTGTGGCAGCCTTGCTGGGAAGCAACCCCCCTCTGACTCCCCAATATACTACTGTAAAAGACTTACATAGCTCTCTTATACATCCTGAGTATACGATAAAATGTTCCAGGAAGTCCCCCAACCGCTCCCATTTGCTCTGATCACTTACTATTAATAAAAATGCTTTATCTCCATGGTCACAATAGAGGGTGGGCTGAAGTTCTTTCTAGGTAGAAATAATCTTGACCTTTGGAAGGCCCTTCAAAATACATTTAAGGTAAACTTAATCCTTTCTTTACCTAAAATAGGATTAGGCCAAAACTGCCCAGGACACACCCACCCTCACCAAGTAAAATAGATAAATATATTAGGATTCCTCAAATTAAGTTTTAGATCCCTACAAAACTATATAAGTACCATTCTTTATTAAGATCCATAAGAACTAATATCTATACTTAAGACTTTCTTTTCTCAGCACCATTCCCAGTAATCACAAGATGGCTGCTACGCCACATCAGCTGATAATCATCTCTGCTTACCGGAACAGCTTTCCCGAAACTGCATTCCATGGAGACCCACCTACAATTGCGGAACTGCACTAGACCCACCCTTAATCCAATCCTAAATAGAATCTATGTTCTCTATTGTTAAAACTCTTATGAGCTGATAATTGAAACACGTAGTCCCTCTCCCATTTACTTGCATGTAACACGTTTTCAATAAAAACACACGATGATTCCTAGCAGTTGTCATTCCTCAGAGAGCGATCTCTGAGGGGTGTCCGGCATAGGACGTGCATGAAAGGCATCGAGGCCTCTGTCTTCTGTTCACCTTCGCCGCCTCCATCAAGATAACCCACCCACGCCGAGGCTGGACCCCCGGCAGATTTTTAAGTGAGTAAGGCTGTGGATTAGAAATAAATGCAATAACAAACACACAAAGACACATAAGTACAGAAAAGCAATGATGAAGAAGCTGTGACCCAGAACTGGCCTCAGGTTAATTCTTTTAATGGGCAGAAAATGGGGGAAGAAGAAATGGAATGTAAAGCCAGTTGCTATAGGATGTAAATCACTTGAAGTTGTGAAAAGGACTGGCGCTAAGTAATTTCTCTGATCTTTTGGGGACAAAATCCGAAACACACATACACACACATGTAGCTTCCTTTAGCTACAGCCCTGCAGTTATCAGGTGGGTATTGACAAAAACGAAAAATAACTGACAACAACAGGCAGATAGTGTTTTCTTATGTAAACGCTCATAGCCATTGCTAAAGAAGCTGACAAACCTGTGTTTCTGCATGTATCTAAAGTCACACCATGTTTTCTCAGAATGCCACCCTCCACAGACTCCCACATGGCCAACTGCAGCTTGAGTCCCAGACCTGGGGGCTTGCTTTCTCACTTTGTCTTTCTCTCTCTCATTGGGGTCAAATTTAAAAATAAATTAAGCTATATAAATTCATTCCTTAAAAATATATAATTTCTGTTTTCTTATGCAAGGATTTTATTTTATTTTTTTTTAGAATTATTTTGAAAATAGAAATTAATTTGGATAGTTCAAAAAATAATTTTTTTTTTAAGGTTTTTGACATTGGGTGCATGCACTCGCTGGACAGGAACCAGACAGTGAGAAGCAAAGTGAGAAATCACCACATTGCAATCATTTCTCCTCCATTCTCCTCCCGGGATTTGGGGCATACACACACATAGGTCTGGCATGATTTTCAAGCTTTGGGGCCTGGGGCTTGAACCACAGTCGGCTAAGTGGGAGTTTAGCACCTTAACCACTACACCACCTTCTGTCCCTCATACAGTTCAATATTTAAAGTCTTTTCCCAAAATCACTCCCCCAGCCACTCAGTTCTCACTCGCAACTCTTATTTTTTTTTAAGGTTTATTTATTTATTTTTAATCTCACGAGAGAGACATACACACCAAGACGTCTTTGATAGGGTCTCAGCATACCACGATTCCCTACCCCAGGCTTCCAGTTCTAGGCCTTGGATATGGCTTCAGAGTCACATCATGTGTCCAACTACCTAAAGAGCTCTACTCCCCTGTACCACTGTGGCTGCACCTCACCCAAGGCTCTTCTGTAGTCTTCCAGAACAAAACATATTCTACTGGGTTGTTGGAAGTCATGATGTATTTTTTCTATGCAAAAATGCATTATGACTTTCCTGATAACCCAATAATACCAACTTCTCATGGTTAAAAATGGACAGTAGCGTTATTATGCACATCTTGTTTTTATTTACCCCACAACATTATCTGGAAAGTTTTTTTTTTTTTTTAATAAAGAATCTACTTATTGTTTTTACAACAGCCTATTTGTTTAAATAAATTTTCTCTTTTCTTTTTTTGAGAGGTTTTTGCTATAGGGTGCATGCATTCGTCAGAAAGATAGAGATAGAGAGATAGAAAGTGAGAAATCACTCCCCGGGGGGATGGCCACACCACAATCCCTTCTCCATTCTCCTCTTGGGATGGGCCCAGCGTGAGTTTAAGCCACCGGGTCTGGGACTCAAACCATGGTCAACTACATGGGAGTCCAGTGACATAGCCATTATGCCAACTGCTGGTCCCAATAAATTATCTTACATCTATACAATGGAAACATATGCAGCTAAATTAAGTGACAACTAAAATTTTAACAGTGAAGTAATTTAGGAAAGAAAGCCAAATTATTAGTAAGACCACTTATTTTTTGTACCAAGTTGTCTAAAGTAGATTTTTGGTATTTCTGGCCACCTTCTCACAAAACCTTTATCCACACTTGGATCAGAAAGTTTAACTTTCTCCCAAGTATACATATACTTCCCAGGAACATATCAAGGTTTTGGAAACAAAGACACATTTTTTTCTTTTTCTCAACTTAAGTGCTTCTGTCAGTATTTCTCAGGACACATACTATGTTCTATCATTTAGTCAAGCTAACAACTTTTCGATCATTTTAAAAAATCGTAAAGTTGAAAATAAAATTATAGTTGGCATACTCCATCTATTGGCTTTACTATAATAGTTTAAGTATAATGACATGCCATTGGTAGAGCTTCAAAAGCCTTATTAGGTTTGATAAAGCATTTCTAGAGCCAAAGTTATTTTCAATGAAGAGAAATGAAATTAGTTTTCCTGGTGGTCATGTGATTTAAGAAACTAAATTGTCTACTATCATTACGTAATGATAATTTAACCGAAGCACTGTACCTCATGATGGGTGCTTGCAAATCCAGTATTTTCTTCATCTCTAAATTTAATGCTGGAGCACACTGTTCTTCCTTAAAATGAGGTATCCCCTTCATTTGTGGACTTCCTCTAAAAGAAATGACATAGGGTTAAGAGAAAGATACTGAATTCACCTCGATTCTGTGGTTAGCATATTAGGTGTTCATCCTTTAGATTCTCAAGTGAAGAATAAAAAGGGGGATGATTCCCCATAGTGCAGCAGTTAAACCCTGTGCATAGGGAGCTGGATCCCACATAGATGACCATGGTTTGAATCTCAGCCTTGCTGCTTGAAAAACACACCAGGCACATGTGCACTAGTGCCCTGAATCCTGACAAGATAGAAATGGAGGAAAACTGGAGAGATCAAGCAGAGAAAAGAGGAAAAAAACACTTAAGATAAAAGTGAATTCTCAAGAGAACCAAAAGACATTTTGTTTAAAATAACTGAGGGTTCTTTCTGTGTTGAGCAACTATAGAAATTCCATATAGTGCACATTCCAAGAGGCCCAGTCATCACTTCTTACCTTAACCATACCTAATTCTTGATTCCTATTCTTTAGATATAAATTAAGGTCAGATGCAGGGATGCAAGAGCTGTTTTCCAAATTACATGGTAATAGACAGCAAAAAAATTCCTGGCATTAAATGGCTGCACTAGAGTGCCTGGGCCATTGCCAACATAACTAAGCTAACATACAGAATCCCTCAAAAGAATGGCTATTTGGAATTCTTTATCTCCACACAGCACAGGAACAGATTACTATCCATTAGACTACTATATTTCCTCAATGCCTGTGGTAAAATTTAATAGTTATCTATCTCTCCTATATTGCTCTTGGCAGTGATATAATTTCCTCCTTTTCAATCACCTACAACTCTGAAAATCCATTTGTCAATACTACTAAAACTGTGAACAAAGAATCAAGTAAGCCAAATACCTTTTAAGGTTCCCATCCTTGTAAAACCTCTTTTGATGTTCAGAAATCTTTTATGCTTACTTTGTAGTTTTGAATTATATTTTATATAGAAGTGTGGTGGTACTTTATACCATACTGTTACTGCAATGACCTGGAATACTTGATTCCTATTATGTCTGAATGGCTAAACTGGCTAATATTTATTAACCACACAAGTTTGTGTTCAACCAGTATGTTTAACTGATATCGTTGCAGAAAACCAACAGTCAAGGAATGGAAAGCAGCACTCAGAGAGGTTAGGAGAACTATTTATTATGCCAGCACGCACAGAGGAGTTAACACTCAAAATCTCCAGCCCCAACTGGGGGTTGGACAGAGTCTTTTATGGGGGAATTGGGGAAGGGGAGGTCTCAGGGTGGGGATTAGACTCACATCCTGCACTATGCAGCATCAAAGTGAGGAGTCAGAGAAGCAGGAAGACTAATCCATTCACTGCACTAATCAATTCTAGGTTTCCAGGTTATCTTGTAGCTCAGGGAAGGGCAGTAAGTTGCTGGAGGGCAGAAAACTTAAGACAGCTATCAACACTGAGTTATTCATGAATTCAGGGTCTCTCCATATCAGGAGGAGTGGGGTTTAAAGACAATAGGAGTGTTAATCACTCTGTTTACTCATAGGCAAAGGAAAAAGCAAGTTTCTAGTCACAAGAATTTAACAGTTTATAATGGAGGCCAATCCTCCAAGATGGAGTCACACCTGCTTCAACAGACATTCCCTGAAAATAACATGAGTACTTGATTTAGAGGAGTCACATTGAAACCATTAATCTCACAGTTTCAGTGAATTTCCTATGATGTGCTCCATGTATGTTTTAAGGTTAACTTATTTTTCTTTTTTTTCCTCTTTTTTTTTTTTTTTTGGAGAGGTTTTTGCTATAGGGCGCGTGCGCTCGCCAGACAGACAGAGACAGAGAGACAGAAAGTGAGAAATCACCCCCCAGGAGGGGATGGCCACGCCGTATTCCCTTCTCCTCCGTTCTCGAACTCTCGGGTTCTTGGGCACGCACACACACGGGCCTGGCGTGAGTTTTAAGCCTCCGGGTCCGGGACACGAACCACAGTCAACTACATGGGAGTCTAGCAACATAGTCATTACGCTAACTGCTGGTCCCAAGGTTAACTTATTTTTCAAAGCAATACATACAAGAACTTAAAATTCAAGTCGTGTTGGAAGGCTTATGGCAAAAAAAAAAAAAAGAAAAGAAAAAAAAGAAAATTAACAGAGTAGTCTCTTTCTAGTGAAAACTTAAGACGTATTTATGAAATGCAATAGATTTTAACAAACCAATTCATGAAATGACAGCCTTGAGTAAAAATAAAGAAAACTGGAGACCAGATGGTGGTGCAGTGGTAAACCGGAAAGCTCTGGGAGGCAATCCCACATACAAAGGTTCCTGGCTCAACTCTGCAGACCTCCCTGAATATCCTGGGCAAGCACATGATCTGAGAGCTGCTAAAGTTAGAAGTGAAATGCAACACTGGGACCCTGTAGAGGGTGCTATTTTTCTCTGTGTGTGTCTCTCTTGCTCATGGAAGAAAATTTTTAAAAAATTATTAAGAAGGAAAATGGCCAAGAGTTGGAAAGGTAGTTCTGGGACAGGATTCCATATGCGTGACTCTGCAGTTCAAGTCCCAGATCCAGTGGCTTGAAAAATGCTCCAGGGATGTGTGGATGCAAACCCCAAATCCTGAGAGAAGAGAAGAAAGGGGACTGCAGCATGGCCATCTCCCCTGGGAGTGATTTCTTGCTTTCTTTATCTCTGTCTCAGATGAGTGAACACACTCTATGATACCTGGACAGAAGTCTGACTGCTTTTACCTGTTTTTCCAAAGTCCTTTCCAGAGGGCCCAAGGGGAGTCAAGCCCACAAACATTAACAGACCATTTTCTCCATTAAGAACATCCTGTCCTGGCATAGTATCTTTGAGATGTATATTTCAACCAATTACAGTATATTCTTTTTTCTTTTTTTTGGAGAAGTTTTTGCTATAGGGCACATGAACTCGCCAGAAAGAGAGAGAGACAGAAAGCGAGAAATCATCCCCCAAGGGGGATGGCCACACCGCAATCTCTTCTCCTCCATTCTCCTCTCAGGATCTTGGGCGGGCCCACACGCACATGCGCCCGTCATGAGTTTAAGCCGCAGGGTCCGGGACTTGAACCGCAGCCTACTACATGGGAGTCCAGTGACATAACCATTACGCTAACTGCTGTCCCTACAGTATATTCTTTTGCTTATCTCTTCCCAAGACACAGAACTTCCATTTTGTTGAGATATAGATTAAGCATTTCTTTTACAAACCTCTTCCCAGGACACAGAGCTTCCCTTCCAATCACTAATCTAAAAACTGTGGAACCCACCTATAACCTACCCCGAAAAAGGCATGTATGACCCCTCTCCAGGTCTAGGTCACTCATATTCTGCTTTAAAATAAACCGCATTAATTATTAATTTTTTAGAGTTGGTTATTTTCATCAACAGATAAAATGCTCAGTGGCAAAAATCTTTTTTTTAAAAAAAAGGAAACACAGAAAACATGATGTTATTAATTACTGTAAATTTCATTAGGTGTAGTAGCACTGTGGCTTTGTTTAAAATGTCTACCTTACAGATAAAACTGAAGCATTTAGGGTTGAAATGATACAGCATGTGGAATTTGCTTTTAAATGTAAAAGTATGCATGCATAGAAAAAAGAGTGATGGTAATTTTTGAATCTGATACAAGTAAATCAATTTTCATTGTTATTCTCTCTAGTGTATGACTGACAAATTCCATAACAAAAGCTCAAAACAATATATTTCTCTTGGTATTTTAAGAGCTTTACTTGAATGCCTTTTAGATGTTCCTGTGTGTCTGTGGAGTTCAATGACATTCTTATTCATAGACTTTATTTATCTTTTTTACCTACCTAGCCGCTGCCAGGATTTTTTTTTTTAATCTGTAGTGAGTTCTGAAATTTCAGAATGATGTACTTTTCAGTCAAGTATGTGAAATTAGTATTACTATTTGTACTGAGCACATGCTGAACCTCTTCAACCTCAGTAAGTCTTTAAGTTTGGAAAATTTACGCATTTTGTTTCCTTAATAAATTAATGTTTTCCAGTTCTTGTTATTCTTCCTGAAATTCTTTTAAAAATTATTTCCATTTGTTATTAATATTTTTTAATTCGACCAGACAGAGACAAAGAGAAAGCAAGTAAGCAAGCCACCAGGTCTGGGATTCAAACCATGGTAGGCCATGTGGGAATCCAGAACCTTTAACCAACATGCCAACTGCTGGTCCTCTTCCTGGAATTCTTATTAGGTTAGACAGTAAGCTTCATATTACCCTCATTTTTCCTTCTTTCTCTTATTTTTTCTTTTGTTCTATATCCTGGGAAAGTTCTTTGACTGCAATGATTTTACTGAATATATTTCTACGATTATACTTCCATTTCAAGAATTTTCTCACACCTTCCCCCCCTTCTTTTCCTTAAAACATTCTGTTCTGTTTCATCAGGCAGTATCTGCCTGAGGTTCTTATTTATCATTTCCTTGAAGTGTTTTCATTCCTTGTGTCGTCAGTTTCCTTAAGTTCCTTTTTTTTTTTCCCGGTTAGTATCTCTTTTTCACACTGGAAACTTTCCTAAGATGGTTATAAATCCTATTCACACTTAAAAGGCTAACAATAAAAAGTCGACTATAATCCTATGTGTGTGCAGGTTTGGCTAGTCAACTGGTAGACTTGACGGTAGTGGCTAACTGGTTTTTGGGTGAGGTTTTTAAATACTAGTACTTTCAAGTACATTTTCTAAAGTGGTTCAATTTCTCCAGGAGGGATCCCTCAGTTCTGCCTGTAATACCTGAACATGGAACAGAGACCTCTGAAACCAAGCAAGAAAAGGAGGTTTGAAGATCTACTATTGTTCATTATGACAACTTTCACTTAATCTACGTCTTTCGTTAAGCATCTACCCCTTCCTCACTCTGTATTTGGAATCTCTCTGGTTTAACCATACAGTATATTTCCTGTTTCATGTGAGGTGGGGAAATAGGAACCCCACTCCTTATTCAGATTTTTAAAGCAATTCCCCTGTTTATTAGTCTTTGCCTCAATCCTATATTCTGCA